AACTCAAACTCAGATTAATTCGAATTCCCCGTTAACTCGAACTACATTTCCTTTCCCTGGATAAAAATTTCACCAAAATTTACCCCGATAACTCGAATTGTGGTTCTTGTTACCCCACTCGGATGCCATCTCATTAGCTTTTCCTCAGTGTTGTATATCGCCCCTCGGTAAAAAACGTCAAAACTAACCCTACAGAAATTTGATTTCAATTGGTGCAAAAAACATATCATGCCATCTACTGATCACGTAGTCTGCTACACAGCCGTTTTTAGTGTCGTCACGCAATGCTCCTCCACACTAAGCGTTGAGGAGCGTTGCGTGACGACACTAAAAACGGCTGTGTAGCAGACTACTGATCACGCACCGTTTCACATTTACCGACATATTTACTTTACAGCCTTTTCAGAATAAGAAATAGTTCATGAATTAATTGTACGGTCAAAGCACCTAGTAGTCAACAGTACTGAGGCTGAGTGCCGAGAAATTAAAAGTCTGTCAAATATGATGGTTAAAATGTGCGTAAGCAACTCTACGATTTCTTATTACAAGCTAACACCTGTTTAAATTTTATGGTTAACAGATTATCTGCCGGACCGTATGACAGTGTAGTGCTCTTCAATTCATTCGTTTTAGAATTTTAGCCAGTTTCGTTTGAAGAATTTGTCATCCGCGTTCGCTCTGGGTAATCATAAAAAGCTTGTGAGTGTTACTCAGAGGTTTTGTCGGAATTGTAATGATCAATCGTAACTGAAAATCGTCTTCCATCTAGACAGGAAGGAAGAAAGCCGGGGGGTTCGCCCCATCAGTTGTGTACGGGTATGTTCCACAAGGGGTCTAAAACTCTGACCCTATGTGTGGGAAATATACTAAGTGAAGATTGATGCCTTTTTTACGGGTAGAAAACCAAAACTGACTCCCTATCTAACAGATCTAAGAGGACGTCCAAGAGAGGCATCTTAAGCTAGCGCAGGCAAATGAACTTCTTTTTTTTTTTTAAATCGTTTTGTTTATCACTTGACGATTAGTACAATTTTCAATAGGTGGCGTTAACTCGTACAAGTTAGGTCACACCATTTTAAGGAACATAATACCCGAAGGTACCGTATATTCAAGGACTGAGCTGTTATCCTGTAAACAGAGTACTTTACTTTATCCCGCTCGAAGTACCTTTATAGCCTTCGTATGCAAGTAACCCCCCCCTCCCCCTCCTGGAAGAGCAAACAGAAAGTAACACAACACACGCGAGGCAGAGGAAATGTTTAGCATGAAACGGCCTCTTGTAAAATTAACATAAACAGAAATTTGAAAACTTTAAAATCATTTCCTTTTCAGCTCTTTATAAAGCTCAAATTTCTTAGCAATCTCTCCTTAGGAGAAGTCTGTTGTAGCAAGGAACTGTACTGACCCACTTTGCAAGAACCCATGGCCAAGTATTAACTTACCTATAAGTTCCAGACTCTGACCTCTTCTTCACGTTGTTACAGTATGGAATTGCTGAAGATCAATTCTGTGAATTCTACAAAAGAAAAATTTAACAACGAGTGCGATTTATTTTAGCTGCAATTTCATGTTACCGATAAAGACTGAATAGCAGGGACGCGACTGTATTTCGAAAACGAAGTTACATAAACTGAATAAATTTTTACCAAGCTCTAAACAAATGGCGAGAAGACTTGGAAAACATTTATCAGGTAGAAATACATTAAATTGAGAAAGTACGATTTTGTAGCGAATACCTTATCCACCGGCAAGAATTTGCGGACGATCTCTCTGTTATTTGCTTGTAAATACGGGATCAAACTTTGCTTTATGAAGCGACGACAACGGGCCGAGATCAAGACGGGAGGAAACTGGGTCGATTGACACAGGCAACCCAAGCTTGTCATTTGAGCGGTCTTGAGTTTTATCTAGCGTAACGTCACGAATTATAAAGTTTGCACAAGAGCCCATAACCCGGAGCGAGCAACTTCAATTCCATGTACTTGTGTCACGGCGATTTCACCTACCATTTTAATGTTGGAACGATTTTGGAGCGAATTTCTTCTATAAGCAGTCTCACAGACCAGTCAGTAAAACCTGAAAATGTTATATTTTATTAGCCTGCGAAAGCATCCGTTTCTCCTTCGCTCTTCGCCGCTGGGGACGTTTCGCGAGGAGGGACGTCGCGAAACGTCCCCAGCGGCGAAGAGCGAAGGAGACACGGATCCTTTGGCAGGCTAATATTTTACCTTTTCATGACTTTTAGCTTTCTTTTTTGACCAATCTCATGTTCAAATGCGTTAATTGGGAGACAGGGGTTTTCAATTTTTAAGGGGAGAATTCTTGTAAACGCAGTGACATAGGTCTCAGTATCGGAGTTGTTCTCCCCGAGTTAAGGGCGGTTTCTGGTTTGCAGGGGAAAAAGAAAGTGTTGAAATATTTGCGTTATTTCAGGTTATTGTAAGGAAAAGAATCTGAATGAAATAAAAGCTTCTTTTGTCATATTAACTCATTTATGTACACTTGTCTGTTGGAGGAGGTGATTTCGATTGGCTTGACCCGGGGCGATCCTGTCTTAAACTTCATGTAGGGCATGGCTTCGGAGGACCACTTCTTATAATAACCTCAAAACTGCTCATAAAACGGCCACCAAAATTACGCAGAATTACGTACTCATCATTTCCAACATCTAGGCATTGACACAGTAGTTTAACATCATTATGACGTCATGTTGTTGAGTTTATTGGAAGATTCGAAAAATCCTTCACGGCTTCATTTATTATCAAAGAAAGAACTGTAACCATCCGCCACCTTGGATCCGCCACTTGCAATTACTCAAATGACTTCTATTTTACTTAAAACCCGTATAAATCACGGTAATCATGATAGAAAATAATGCTTAGGGAGCAAAAAAAATCTGCAAGCCATGAAATTCTGAGAGAAATAATCACTGTTGAAAATTGGACCCAAATTGGTCACCTTAAATTCATATTTTTTCTGAAATTAGTCACTAAAAAGCCTGGGTTACATTGATAAAATATTGCTAAATTAAGTGTAATAAAATACTGCAATAAGTAAAAGTTAAAATAAGGCCTCTTTATAGAAAAAAAACTGTCAAAATTCGGTTGCCATGGCAACATTTATGTCGACCTACACGCCACGACTACTTTAAAATGTTTCCAGATAAATTTTAGGAAAAGTAGCCAAGTTTGGTGGTCAAAGCTTAAATGGCTCTGATGTTATTCAACTCCTACATGACTTCTTGGGTAAAATAAAGAATGAGTGGACAATTTTGAGAGGGCTGATCAGTATTCTTGATTCTTTTTACTGTCTGCTTTAGGGGGGTTATTGTAGCGTCTGCGGCCCCTAAAAAAGGTGACAGTTCGTATCCGCTTACCCCGGACGAATAACAGATTTGAACAAATTTGCTCCTTGCAAATATATCGCAAATATATAGGTGCTGAGGAGTAAATATACGGCAAACATGGCAAATGCTTCATTTGCCCTGATTTACCCCTCCCTGAGTCCCAGTTTTTCGGTATGCAAATGTCGCACTTACAATCTTTGCCATATATTTACTCCTCACCATTTACATGTTTGCGACATATTTGCAAGGAGCAAATTTGTGCAAATCCATTTTTTCGTCCAGTGTTTATCTCCCCGCATCTACAACAGAAGACTCCTTAACTGTACAGATATATATTCACGATTATGTCATGTGAACACAAACACAGAAATACTCTGATTTGGCCCTTGTGGGAAGTAAAAAAACCAGACGCGACTGGTAACATTCCCTGGTAGTGGGCACCGTTATTAGTGTCTTTGGATTTGGGGAATTAGAACTGAGGGATGGCACTTGTTAGACGACCTGCCTCTGTCTATCCTCATCTATCAAGTCTAGCCCAGTATTGTTGCTGCCAAAAACACGTAGATATGCCGTTTCAATCCGTTTTTTGACATTTTTTCGACACAGCAGAGCCTGGTGCATGACTAAGATGGCGGTAAAGACAGTCAGACTTTACTGTAAATTGTAAGGGCTATGTATGTTTTTTCTGTGTGTGTGTGTGCGTGTGTGTGGTCTTATAATTCGAGCTAATTCGTTGGTAACTCCCTCTCCTTACGTTTGACGTTTCCCTCGCCTTTTGCCTATAATTGATTGTTTCTTTTTTCTTTATTTTACTCAGTTGTATAATATATATCTTCCGAAATTCTAATTCACCCCGTACATAAATGTTGTTGGAAATAGTTCTTCTATTAAAGTTTCCAGCGTGAATCTAATTCATTTGGTCTTGACAGATTTGTAGAAAAGAATTTAGACAACTAGTAGAGTAGATTTGAGAACGATGTACTTTTTGAGCTTTATTTCGACAAGAGAATAACATCACACAACTGATTTTTAAAAAATGCATAGTCATAGATCGCGCACTGGAAATAAAATCTTGTTAAGAAAGTTGCGCTTCCCCCTATTTCTTTTTTAAGACAAAATTTTTCTGGCCCTAAGTTCTTCGATCAGTCTCTTGACGGCATTTTCAATGGCTCCTTGTGTACTACGATGATGCTTATCTTTAACACTGGTTCCACTTTCCACATCCCAAGCTGTTCCATCATACACCCACTCAAACTTGTGTAGGCGACCCTCTGCTTTATAGTGAATCACACGACTCTGAAAATTTAGCTAAAAGGATAAAAAAAAACAACAACATCAAAACGCTAGTATTGCTCTCAATATGTTTAGAATGGATCGCTAATAGGAGTATCAATGCATACCAGAGAGCAAAATAGCGAAATGAGCAATGAAAAATTAGCATCACAGTTCAGTCATGGCCTCCGAAATTTATTTAATTTTTTGAGCTGGTTCCTCACTCGAAATCCTATGTGGCGCCATTTACAACAACTAAACATGTTTAATTAAACTACAAGGGTTAGCAAAATGAAAAAATTAACAGAAAACTAGAACAGAGCTAGTCTCCGCAGGCTTTTACACAGCCAGCTCAAGTGGAGTTTAACACGTTAAGCGATTGCACAAAATTTGCAGTCGATGAACGTACAGTAAGCACATTCTCAGTTGAAATTAATTAAAACAAATTTAAACCGTGTTTAACTAAACAGCCTTTAAACATTTTTAAGCTTTGTGTGTATGGGGCTTTACTAGCCATTCAAGTCTAGTTAGCGCCAATTTGACTGAAAATAGAAATAAAATCTAATGGACAGAAAGCAGGCATTATTCATGGAGTTTTAACCAATTTGCACGTGCATTGGCGCATTCGCAGCTCGATAAATCTATACCACTAGCCACCTCCACTTCGGTGAACAATTGTTATTTATTATGAAGACTTTATAATAAATAACAATTGTTCACCGAAGTAAAAGACTGGCCGAATATGCACTACAGATGGATTACATCAGTCTTCAAAATTCTTTAACTAATAAAATAAACGGATAACTTGCTTAAGGCCATGCAGTGCAGCTTGAAACGACCAAGTAGAGGAAACTGAATCTAAATTTTTACTAGCACTTGATTTGCTTTCCTTAAAAGCTAAGAAATCATATGACACTGACAAGTGTCGACTGAATATGGCCCATTCAGTCCATCAACACCAAAGCCTTATTAACCATGAAAGCTATTCAGTTTTATCACAGTTGTAAATTTTTGTCATTATAAAAGATGTTCATTACTTTTTGTCGATTACAAATTTAGCCTAAATGAAAGCACAAGTTAAATCTTGCAGGAATGCTATAGGTAAAAGCCAATCCTTCAGTTTCCTTTGATTAATATTCGTTTTGTCAAAGCGGGTTAACTAAACATGGTTTGGTGGTGTGAATGTGGTAAAAAAAAATACCTGTCCTGAGTCGCCAGTGACGCGTTGAAGGGTGGAGTAAAGAGACATCAAATCCTGAATAACCATGATATTGTCAAACAACTGCAATATCAAATCGAAAAGAACGAATCATGAAATATCTTATAAACTAAGAGTTTAATTAAGTGATCAGGAGATTTTATTGTAAGTTATTTCCGAATTAATATATATGGAGAGAGTTATGGTTAAATACTTACAAACAAGACGAATGCAGGATCTGACGGATGAACTGGTTATAATACTGTGCTGTACCGAACGTGCAACAAAGTTCCCTCGGACTGTTTGCAATTGTTTTGACTCCACTGAAAAATCCTTTAAATGTTAGCAATAACGAAATATTTAGCGGTGGATTCGCAGAAAGGGAAAGTTTTCTGGGACTAAAGGACTGCAGAATAATACGGGTTTTGTGGAAAACTTGTTTTATAAGCTATTAGTAGCTACCCAGAGTGCTTTAAAAGCTGTATAAATGCTTGACTAGGTGGTGCTATAGAACGTTTAGCTGAATGTTTATCTTTTCATTCATGGGACAACCTTAGCCTTTTCGATTTAGTCTATTATTAATAGATGTTATTTAAAGATTTAAGTGCGGAAACGAGAGATTTTCTGATACCTCTTTCTGTCACTAGTTTTGGAAACCGAAAATTTCAGGTTTACTTTCTTAACAATGACAACCAAACTTGTGAAGTTAAATGTGAACAGTCCAAATTCCGATAAACGTATAGGAAGTAAAAGAAAAACTGCCAGAATCTTAGAGCTAGATGGAACAGTCATAAGGAATTTTTAGTAGTTACTCATCAATGTTGTAGAAAGTTCGAGGCACTATTTGCTTCTTCCAAAAGATATGTTACAGAAAACAAGGGTGTTTCCAGACACCACTCCTCCTCGTTAAAACAGCAGACTGTTCCCTATTTTTCCCAAAACGAGATCGAGAACCTACCCGGGAAACCTACCCTTACGCCGGTAGCCATCTTGGTTTCTGGTGTATCGAGTCCGCGGAGCCTGGGGATGGGTATCCAATCTACTTAGAGGATAGCGCGCATCTCAAACCCGTGAACTCGTTAAATAAATTTTTCGTAGAGGCAGTGCAAGCACTGAAATAAGTTGTATGCATTTAGCAAACAAAAAGAGTGTTTGCAGGAAGACGGAGACACACACCAAAAAAATTGTTTGCAGCTAGAGCCGGATATTAAAAATAAGAATGTTTGCACTTGAAAATTAATGGTCCGTCCCTTAGAACGTTACATCTGTTGAACCACAATGACATTGTCCCAAAATTAACTCGTTCCTCTACTATTGCCTCCTGTCTCCCAGTTCATTTTGAAGGAAAATGATAATGGCGTGTAAATAGTAATGGAAACAACCTTTTTCTTCGAGAAAGACATTATATCTTTACAAAACAATCAGCTTTTAGATGGTGGTTTGCGTGTGAACAGGTTCCCTAGCGGGGTATTAAAGGTAGTGGGGAGGAAGCGAGGCCAAGTAACCTGTTCTCTCCATACCAAACTCTTTCAGGAGCCTGTTCACAGGGTAAATGGTCACAGTATCCACTTGGTAAGTAATGACCATCATGATTACAATTATTATTCAATCAAGTTTCTTTTTTCAGTTTTCTGGCTTGTATCCTCCTGTGTCTATAAATTATATCCAGATAGTGTGAAAATGTTTGATATCATTTTTATCGTAAACTAAAAGTCTGAAACGAAGCTTAAGACCACTGTACGTTTGGCAAAGACAGTGGGGCTCAGTTCTCGGTAGTGGCGCGTTATCAGTATGGAATTTTGCGTTTCTCAGGCTATAATCCACCCTGTTTGGTTCGTCTCATAAAAAGTTTGACGTTTTGCGCTCGATGATTTGCTCTAAGAAAAATTGTAAAGAGGAGTGCTGAAATTTGAACTTAACGGACTGGGCCCTAATATTCTGCTCAAAGGCATTCTAACTAGCGCGTGATTCGAACAGAAGTTACTTCTCCTTTGCGCGCGCGCTAGCAGTAACAGTTCTTAGTTTTAAAAATATTTTTTAGGTTTATATTAATGAAGTAATATTAGTATGAAAAAGCGGTTTATCTTAGCTGTAAATGTAACCCTGTGCTTTCTTTTAAAACTTGAAAGAAATTTTTTTGCCATAAAAGCACCGTCTTGTAAATAAACGCATTACTTTTCGTTCACCGTTTTACGACTCGGAACCTTCGTTTACTTCATGCAACTCTTTATTACGACATTCCGACGTCATTAAGTTTTTTCGCTTTTCCCGTTCAGCTACAGTCACGAAATTTAGAGAAAGCTAAACCATTTTTTTTTTTCGAGGATAAGCACTTTTTGACAGCCCGGTAATAGAGAATTAACTGCTTGTATGAAGATGGAGGTAGGTGTTTCTCTCTTTTTCTTTTTTTTTTTTTTGGTTTCAAGTTTAAAAAAAGGAAAGAAAAAAACACAGAGTTTTTCCAAAATGAAATTCCTTAAAACACCATTTAAACTCGGGATCGTGCAAAAATTTAAAGAACAAGGTTTTGAAAGGTACTTTCATTGGGATAATACTGTAGTTTCCTGTATCATTAACTCAGTGGATGATTGATGTTGTGAGAAAGATGGGGAGATGTGCGTGTATGCTCCGATCATACACCAAAATCATGTCTCCAAATAGAGCACAAAAATGTTTTTTTTTTCTTTTCCTTTTGTTTAAGCATAATATATTTCTCTTAGATGAAGCAGCAGGATTTGGATTTGAACAATTTTATAAATGGTTAGCCTGCGAGCAAGCTCTCCTATTTGGGCGAGTGAAGCGAGTCTCGCGACAACGCGCGAGCGAGCAGCGAAGCCGCGAGGGGCCTGCGAAAGGAGAGCTTGCAACCATCCCTTACAAATTTTCATTTGTACTTCGCCCAGACGAAGGGAAATACCATTGGCTGAAAAATGACGTTCCGGAAATCAAAGTTGATTGATAACAGGCTAAGCTGGCACCGGCTTCGTCTGTGTGTCATATTTGGTTCTCAGGGGATCAGATTGGTACCGAGAACTTGTTTCAGCCCTCAAAGCAGACGGGCTCGTTTGATGTAATTCTGGTAAAGAGAATATTGCGAGCCGAGGATAAGTCGGATCGAGTTTGTAGTTCTTGTGGAAGGAAAATGAAAACCCTTCATCACTGAGTTGTATTCGTTTGTGTCAAGTACCTTGTTTAGTTCTGAAAACCGGGAGAGTGAAAGTGAAGAGTGATTGAAGCGCTGTTTTCCAACATCGGTTTCTTCGCCCGGTTGAATTCTACTGGGTGGAAAAATTCAGAAACATGTCCTTGACAGTGTAGCTGTGTAGCGTGACCGTAAAGAAGGAAAAGAGAAAGTAAACGAAACGAGAATCAAATTAGTGAGTTCTTATCCGAGCGGACACGTTGAAGTTCGATGTCCCCGTGAAAAAAAAAAACATAAAAACATTGCTTTGATGCTGTTGCGAAAGCGATTTATAAATAAATAAATAATTCTATGCGTCCTCGGCTGTCTTAACTTACTTGACAGGCGGTTGTCACTTTTCTAATCTGCGGCACGTTTGCGGTGACAGTTTTCACGCTTTGCGGAGTCCCGGGGTTTCCGGGGTGGAAATGAAAATTTATGAGAGATCGTTGCAAGCTCTCCTTTCCTCGGCCCCCTCGCTCGCGCGTTCTCGCGAGGCTCACTTCGCTTACCCAAATAGGAGAGCTTGCTCGCAGGCTAATAAATGGTTTAAGTCAACAACAGCCAAAATTTCTTAACAATTAGATCTCATTTTACAGGCATTAATGTTATGGAAGGCAGTTGACGACTACGTTCACGGTATTATACGAGATTCAAGGAGGAAGAAATACAAAATACAAACTCTTAGCTGCGAAGAAGAGAGCAAGGCTGATGTGTCAACGCAATTTAAGTCTGCGATAACTGAGGTAATACTTACTTAATGTGTGCGTCTAAGACGATTTTTTAATGTTAAATCCCTTTCAGTTACACTTAAGGATATAATTCCAGAATAGAGACCTAAACAGGGAGGGTATTCCCTACTTTGTCTCCCCACTGATGGGCTCTTTTTTGCGCCGGCCACGCGGGCTAGGTTGAATGTGATGGTTCGGGTACGCCCATGAAGATTTTGTAGGCGTGGGAGGTGTGAGACGCTATAAAGAAGGTGGTAAGTTCCTGACATACAGATTGCATTTGTCTTGGCGAAAAGGCGCATTGGCCTACGTCAACTGGTCACCTTAAATATTTGACATCCATGAAACAATTCACCTGCATATGATGACCAGCAAAGTGACATCTTCTTCTTTACATCTACATCTATAAAGAGGCTTTTATTTTATGTTCCCTTGATCTCATCTAAATTTTATAAACTCTCTTCTAGAAAAAAAATTCGGGCGTTGGAAAGAAGAGAGGATCAATTGCTCCATTAACAACTGAGCGACGTAAGCAAATTACTCTTTTATTTTTAGTCTTCTTCTATTCCTAACACCGGCTAACAGATCGACACAATGACAGAATTGATCACATACACGTTACATTCGCCGGCTTTACTTGATTATGCATGCTGATTTATTCACTACTTGCCAAGTTTGGATGCCGATGTCCTTGTTTTCCAGGAGCAGTTGAATTCTTCCTTCAAGTAAGAGTTCAACTTCTCTTACAAAGCAAGGCACATCAATCAATCTGACAAATTTATCAACCAAAACCAAAATATTAAGCGCATATTTCTTGGATAATTTTGAGAATTCTTGAACATTTCTTTGTCCAACGCTTTTCATCGGAGGCGTGCATATTTAAACTACTAGAAGTAGCCAGGTGTCTTCAAAAGTTACACCATTTATGAATGGCCACTTATGAACCTTATGACTCATAAGTCAGGTACATGTAGCTGTCGGACGCCATTCATTTATTTACTGAGACGATTTGGTGTTGATGTGTCGTCTTAAAAGAGCGGTTGATTTCTTTCTGTAAGTCTTTTCTTACATGGCAGACCAAATTAATAGTCAGTCCGCAGTCGATGAAGCCATCCGTCCATCCGTCAGTCCAACCTGCAACAACAAACCAACTAATCAATCAATCAATCAATCAATCAATCAATCAATTGATCAATCAATCAATCAATCAATCAATCATTCGTTCTGGGCTCGTTCGGTCTTTCGGTCAGTAGTTTGCTCGTCTTGCTCCGATTCCCTCCTTCGTTCCTTCCTTCATTCAACTGAGAGCCAAGATGTCCTTGTTTTGCAGGAGCAGTTGAATCCCTCCTTTCAGTAAGGGTTCAACTTCTCTTGCAAAGGAAAGAACATCAATCATTCGTTCTAGTTCTGGGCTTGTTCGGTCTTTCAGTCGGTATTTTATTCGTCTTCCTTCCCTCCTTCTTTATCTATTCATTCAATTGGTGCCAATATGTCCTTGCTTTGCAGGAGCAGTTGAATTCTTCCTTTCAGTAAGGGTTCAACTTCTCTTACAACAGAAGGAACATACAATCAATCATTCGTTCCCCTGGGCTCGATCGGTCCTTCAGTCGGTGTCTCGTTCGTCTTCCTTCCTTCCTTCCTACCTTCCTTCATTCATGCATTCACTCTACTAGGTACCAAGGTGTCCTTGTTTTGCAGGAGCAGTTGAATTCCTCCTTTCAGTAAGGTTTCAACTTCTCTTACAAAGGAAGGTACTTCAATCAATCAATCATTCGTTCTGGGCTCGTTCGGTCTCTCAGTCATTATTTTGTTAGTCTTCCTTCCTTCCTTCCTTCATTCAAGTGGGTACCAAGATATCCTTGTTTTGCAGGAGCAGTTGAATTCCTCCTTTCAGTAAGGGTTCAACTTCTCTTACAAAGCAAGGCAGATCAACCAACCACTCAATCAATCATTCGCTCTGGGCTCGTTTGGTCTCTCAGTCAGTAGTTTGTTCGTCTTCCTACCATCCTTCCTTCCTTCATTCATTCAACTGGGAGTCAATATATGCTTGTTTTGCAGGAGCAGTTGAATTCTTCCTTTTAGTAGGGGTTCAACTTCTCTTACAAAGGAAGGCACATTAATCAATAAAACGATCAATGAATGAATCAATCAATCAATCAATGGATCAATCCATCGATAAATCAAAACCAAAATGCGTATTACCGATAATCTTGAGAACTGTAGAAGAATGCTTTTTCCTTAAACCTTTTCTTCGGAAGCGCCCATCTAAGACTTTAAAACTAGTAAAATTGACTCCAGTGTCTATTTGCAGTGTTGAAAAGAATAATGATAAGCGTCTTATTTGTCCTTTAGCCATGTCTGACTGAATCAATCCATTAATCAGTCAATCAAAATCGCCTAGTCCACGGAGACCTCCGAAACACAACTACGTGCCATTAAAACTACTGAGTACTATCTCCTTTTTCTTCTACTAATCAAAATTTTATTCAGCTTATAAAGGCTGAGAATATTGATTTAAACGTTTCTGATCCCATTTCCAAAAACAAAATAATAAAGAACAGTTATGGTATGACCTTTAAAAATGTCAACTCAGTGTCTGTAAACAAAAACCAAACAAACAAACAAAAAGTCATGTAAGTTTGATTACGGAAATTTATATTGTTCGTTATTTTCAGCTTTCAAAGGGAAGCAGCCACGGAAAAATTCGTTACTCCACTTGGACGAAATCAGCAAACTTGTGGACGAGAAAAATGCAACTGAGTTTAAGGATTTTATCTTTTTTCCAGGTAAGTAACTTACTTTAAAAGATTAATTTCTTTCTCTGAAACCACAAAAAGATTTTTTGAAGCAAAATATCTTGACGTTGCCTCATTGATTTGACTTTCTGAGTCGTTGATCACTCCGATCGTCCATTGCGCCGTATTCACTATTTTCACTTAGTTCATAATCCCTGTTTACTCACCCAAATTTTACATAACCATTGTTTCTAACCTTTCCTGGGTATTACAGTCTTCCAATGAGAATCGCCACAAGAGAAATCGAAGACAACGGTTATGCAAAATTTAGAGGAGGGGGTGGGTAAAAGAGATGCATTATGGTCTCGGTGGAAATGGAGAATACAGTTTATATTTCAAGGCCCCATTCCCGGACCTTGGTTGGACCGGAGATATTAACCCAGCACTGCTTATCAGAAGATTAGGTTAAAACTGACCAGAGACCCAATGGTAACTTCATGGCCATGTAGTTTATTATTACACTGTATTATTATCATTATTTGGTAATTGACGTCTTTTATTTTAGGGCTTCAGGACGTGAATGGAAATGACATTGTAATCATCAACACATCAAAGCTTCCCAAGAAGTCCCAGTTTTCGACAAAGAAAGGTTTTAAAAGTGTCAGAGATGCCCTAATCTTGTAAGTGAATTCATAACGAACAAAGTGCTCTAAAGTTAACTGCTTTAAGTGAACAGAAAATCGTTCACAACCAGCCGGCTCATGGCCGCTTACTCGTTTTGACAGAAGGTTCAAACGGGAATTTTTTTTTAAAGTTGTTCGCCTTTAAAGGCGGCTTTCAGTACAACCACTGCCGCTAATTTTCAAGAGCAAATAAACAATTTGCTATGTTTGCGTCGTTTCCAAATGGGGACAAAGGGCTCCATAAAAAGTCTCAGATCATTGTTTTCGCAGTGTCTTCACCAAAAACTAATATAAAACCCTATATTCTTAACCTCCTGCATGAGGTCTCGAACTAATAAAGCTAACGAGGAAAAACTCTAAGCCCTCTTTCTTAGCTATAGCCCTATAGCCCTAGCCTAGCCCTAACCTAACTATAACTAACTCTAACCTCTACCTAAGACCCCAGACCCTTTACTCTTACTGTTGTTTTTACCTTTATCCCAAACCAGACCCAGCTCGCCTTTCGCCTTTATCTTCTACCACGGAGCCTTTCCTGGTCCCAAGCTAGGTCCTGAAGGTGGCCACTTAGAGGAGTGGGACTGTGTAAAATCTCCTGACCCAGGTCAAAGTTGGATAACGCTATCCATCGCAGGGGCGGATCTAGGGGGAGGGTGCAGGGGGTGCGCACCGCACCCCCCCCCTGAGATGACCTGCGGTTTTCTAATACAACTGGTATTCTGCAAAAAAAAACTACGTGGTTTATTGGAAGAGACGAGTGCACCCCCTCCTAAAAAAAATCCTGGATCCGCTCCTGCATCGGATAATCACTATATAGAATGCTATCTAGCGGACATCAGGAAAACTAATTGTGTTATCCACTTTTGGAAAAAATGGGCCTTGAAGAAAACCGTGCACTTTATAATCTCCAACACATTCAACATATTTTCAATCTTCTCACAGATACGCAAAAGCTTTTATCGCGGCCAGTGTCACAAGCGAGAGGATTGTTATAGTAATGCATACGAGTGAGGAACCAGCGATGTCTTGTTCTAGCATAGTCAGGAAGATTTACAAGATCTTGAAAGAAGCGTAAGTTAATTTTTCCACCTCTTTTCCTTTGCAGGTGAACAGAATAGGGTAGTAGTTTATAGTTATTCTCACTACATCAATATCTAAAGGACTTATACATAAATATATGGCTTCCTTGTGTTAAATTAAAACTATCCGATTTTTTAGAACTGTTTAGTGTGGCTCCCTGAACATACATCTCTTAACACAGGATCAGCCTTACATTTACTCCTGCCTAGCTATTTTGACTGTTATTTGGCATTCTCTTCTCAGATTTAGTGATCGCCTCAATAGCTGTATCATACATAAACCCGGAAGTAAACTCAAGTCGTTGATCTGTGTTTCCCGGCTTTTTCTGAAGTGAGTGCAGCGCAATAGTATCTATGATTAGTTTGCTTAATTATTTGATTACAATAGGCAATTTCCAAGTTCCAGAAACTCTCCGACTTTCAAAAAGAGACCAATTGCAGAACCTAATCTAATTTCTTGTGAAAATGGTTGCGATTGTATGAGAATGAAAAATCACTTTCGTTTCAATGGCTTCGCATTTAGCCTCTGTTTGCACTTCGGGGCAAGATTTTTTTTGCGGATACTAGGGTTTAAATGACGCTCAAACCTCAACTGCAACACTAAATTTATTACGAAGGGACCTGTAGTGACAGTCAAATAACCTCAACGTCAAAAAAGCTTATTATCAATTTCACATAACTTCTGAATATTAACAGAACCAATGCTTCTGAAATTAATGATAAAATACTGTGGACAAACCAGTATCATTTGCATTATAATTATGCTTTCCGAGTTTTATATTTTGAAGTCAAGAATTAACTTCCCGGTAACTCTTGGTTTTGTCGAAAGTATTATTGTTCAGTTAGCAAGTTGGGGGGGGGGGTGGGGGAGAGGCTCTTTGAATGGAGCATGAATATTCTGCTTGTTTCTGACTTCCTTGTTTGTTTCTTTGTTTTTCTTTTCTAGGAAACAAATTAAAAACAAGATTCACTTGACAAAAGAAGAAGGAATGTTCCTGAAAAATCACGGTAAGAATATGAGTCTTCTCCTAGTGTTGACCATCCTCGGAGACCCAGGGGCAGTTAGTCGGGTCGATAAAATGTTTGTGGTGAAAGTTTACTGTAAGATCGTCTCGAACTTACAGTAAACTTTCACCACGAACATTCTATCGACCCGACTAACTGCCCCTGGGTCTCGAGGATGAGTGTCGACACTCTTTAACTAGGATGTGAAGTTAACTGTTGTTTTGTTTTAATCGATAGGCATCGCAGAGGGCATCCTAAACTACTGAAAATTGATTGACATTTGTAACCATCTACTCTTTTATAAGCTGCTCCAATTTGTAGGTTGTTATATTTAGTTAACTTATGATCCAATCACTTTGCTCAAGAATTTCACTTAATAACACAAACTTACAGCCTTAGATCAGCCCACTTTTTACTTAGAAGTACCCTAAAATATTTTCCTTATTTTTTTTTTTCGTATACCAATTTTGAAACTCGTTTAATTTACTTATTAGGAATAGCCCTTTTCCCTTAAGATATGAAATAGACCTTTTCAGTGATACCTCAGAGCTTGTAGCACATTAATAGTAAATTAAGCAAAATACGCTACTGTGTGATGGAACACACTTTCATTTAAAATAGTGTGAAGACATTACATTATTTCCTGTTTAAAGTTTTCTGTATACATGCATTATCTTTTGACTAACAAATTGCAAGTAGTGGCTAGCTGCAAAGTCGAGGAAGCCTTTAATTGATGTTTGCCATTTCAGTCTCACTTATCATTCAGTTGTTCAATTCAAAAACGGATTCAGCATAATAATCCTCTTGCGTATCACACGGTCACTGCACTGAAACGCTGTCACATCGTTGCTATGATACTACATTTATGCAAGTTCAAGTCTCTAGCGGTAAGATTGTCACTAATCTGCGCATGAGCGGTGTAGTTTTTGCATAACTAATGAGTAATACACTTTGATCGTGTCGGTGTCCTAATGGACAGTAATACAGTAATCGGTTTACACTGATAACCATGTGGGAGTCTCGTTCACCTCCTGAGAACTCAACCTTCATCATGCAGCTGGAACCGCTAAGTGTCTTTACAAGAATGAGCTTTCCACACTAGATAACTCTCTCTTCCCTGGTCAAATTTACACTGGGAATATAAAAATAACCGTTAAAAATGAAAAATATTACTGAGATTTATGCGAAATATACCAAGCTCTTTTTTTTTCCTATATTCTATTTAATCAATAATTTGAAAATTGAATTTACAAATTAGTAAAAGAATATATGGAAAACGAGCGCGTGGTCATAATACTTTCTGAAATTGTTCACATTCATTGAAAATGTTTAAAGAAAAAACATTTACACAAACTATTTATACTATAATGAAGCTGTGAATAATGAAAAGAGAAAAAATGACAATTAATATAACAGTTATGAAAAGAATTAAGAAGAAAAAACGGGCGAGTGGTCAAAACACTTCAAGAAATCATCCATATTCATTAGAAATGTCAAAACAACCATTTCAACTAAATATTTAATTTAATATATAAATTAAGAGGGAGCGGTTGAATCATATTCATTGGAAATGTCAAAAAAAGGTGTTTCCACTTAATATTTACACTAATGTAGTGGTGAAGAAGAAAACTAATTTCTACAAATTATGAAACGAATTATAAATGTAGGAAAAAAAAAGGTGGAGATACTTCAGGAACCTATTCACGTTTTTCTGGAATGTTAAAAAGATATTCCAAAAAAAAAAAACATTTATAAAGTAAGAGTGAGTGGTCAAAATACTTATACTTGATATTTATAGGAATGAAGCGGTGGAGAAAAAATCTCCTGGCCTCTTGTGCCTTCACAAACTTCGCGTTCTCTTCATCATTTTGCTACTGTTGCTGAATGAAATAAAAGAGACAAATAAATGTTTAAAAATCATTTCCACAAAATATCTACCGTGTGGCACGAAATTTTTGCGGTAGTTTATGCTGGCGGATTGGCCATTTTTTATGTTTTGTGGGAACTAATTTTTGCGATTAGGACAGATTGGTTTTTTTGCTGGGAATTAATTTTTGCGATTTTCAGAAAGTACCCAGTGCTAGCATTGATAATATTTTATTGAGTAAGTGCAATAGAAATCCATATTTTCAAACAATAAACCAGTATTCCATTGTATACTGTTTTGTTTCTGAATGAAAGAGACAAGTTGTGATTGAACAGACACGATTTCCTAGTACTGTATTTTAAGTCATAGAATATCAGTACTCTGGACATTAAATTTTTACAGGAAAAATGTTTGCGGCAAATTTTGTTTGCGGGAACTTATTTTTGCGGATCGCTGGAAAAATTGCAACTAAAATCGCAAAAATTACAACCCGCAAAAATTTCGTGCTACACGGTATATAATAATACCAATCTATATTTTTAAAGGTTTGGTTTGTCGTTTGTCTCACGATTGACACTTTAATATTGATCGCGATGTTTCGACCGCACACTGTAGGTCTTCATCAGGTGATATTGTCGATCTACTGAGTCGGAATATTTGTACCACCCTGGTTGTTAGTGATTGGTGTATCACGAACCATGATTGGTGGGTTTCGATCCAAAGCACTGATGCTATCGTCAGAGGAGGAAACTGATCCATCAGGGGACCGCTGTGGTGGCGATCGGCTGTTATATGTTATCTGACTGTAGGCACCACGCTTCAGGAATCTCAATTCCACCGTCCCTGTTGATGTTGTTAGGGTGAAGTCTTATGTGAATAACCTCTTTAACTCTATGAGACTACCAGTGCGGGTCTCGGTCAATAAACTTAACTTCGTCACAGAGGGGATAATAGGGAGCTTAAGCAACAACGTTTTTGAGCGACGCACGTCAACCGGAAGTGGCCTTTTTTCATTTTTTGACGGTGGTTTCGCGCAAATTTTCAGTCAAATCGCCTCTATAACAGTAAAGAAGCTAAGGAATACAAATTTTATATCATCAAGGCATGATAAGAGGGAAAATACCTCACTTCCGGTTGACGTGCGTCGCTCAAAAACGTCGTTGCTTAAGCTCCCTAATGCACAGTCTCATTGGCGTGCAGTGCGTTCACAAATAGCCTGAGTATTAGGCGTTTCTGGGGGAAAAGGGGAAAGAAGGAAGCGAAAAAGGGAGAGAGCTCTTCTCCCCCCTCCCCCTCCCCCCTCCCCCATCGAAAATCTCCTCTCCGCTAGCCCCTTAGGAAGGCCTGATACTCAGGCTAATTCAGAAACGGCCGAAGTTTGAGTTCCTGAAAGGGGTATATCTCCGGCCTATCGTTATCGTGCGCCTTAATACATTCATGCGTGCACCTTCCCGTTTCGCTAATGTATACTTTGCCACATTCACAAGGAATCTTATACACTACTCCATCTTGTTTTCATGGATCAACAGGATCCGAATGAATTAGGTTGTACCAGGCGAAGTGCGATATTAGCGTTGTGTCGGACTTGAAAACAGATCGTGCGCCATGCTGTTTTAGGCAACGACTAAGTGGTTCAGATAATTCTTTGATGTATGGTGTTGTCATTCTCAGTCTCCATTATACTTGTAAGACGGATGGTAAAACTGATAGTTGGTTGTGTCTACTGCATGTATTAACTGAAAAGTCGTTAATTAGAGATTAAACGAAACGGTCACCTGACTGGACCTGTGTAGACAAGATTAGACCTTGACACAAACAGCCACCTAGAATCTACCTCCAAGACCTATAGTTCCGTGTGTTAACGCCTTTGCTTATGATTCAGTACAAACCTATTTAGCCGAGATCTTAGTTCCCTTAACAGGGAAGTCTACCTACAAGGTTAAGAATTCAGCTCATTTTGCGTCTACTATTAACGAAGAAACGGTTGATGAAAACGAGATCATGGTATCATTCCGCGATGTAGAATTTTTATTTACAAATATTCCGATTGAAGGCGCTGTACTAATAAGCTACGTTACGGAAACGAGCGAGTGACCCAAGCGTCTCTAGTCGCACAACTTTAACACCTGCACAGATGGCTGACCCTTTAATTAACTTTGTTCTAAGTTAGGTCCACATATTTTCAGCATGATATGATGGAGCAATATATGAACAACAAGATGGCGCAGCTATGGGAAGCCCAGTTTCGGCAGTCATAGCCAACCTCTACATGAAGGACTTTGAAGAACAAGCACTATCATTCGCGCCAACCGCCCCAAAGATCTGGATAACGTTATGTTGACGACACTTTTACCATCTTAATACGAAATGATGTCGAAAATCTTCTACAGCGGCTTCTCAACACTCAAGAACCAACCATCCGTTTTACAATGGAGACTGAGAATGACAACACAATTCCCTTTTTTGACACATTGGTCATAAAAGATTCAGAAGGACGCCTCACTACAAGTGTTTACAGAAAACCTACGCACACATCAGTGTGCCAGTTATGGCTTACGCCTTTAATGACTCTCACAAATGACCCTCAATCAGTTAACGCGGTGTTGTCAAGTGCTTATACGATCGATCGAAAAATATCATCACTAAACCATCGGTTACCCCTGAGGAAAAGAATAATTTAGCCTCTGCCCTTGTCTCTAACGGATACCCCTATTCGTTTGTAACTAACATGATCACCAATTTCAAGACACGGGCAGGCATCTGTGATATAGAACCCGCAACCGAAATAAATCTACGGCGGTTCTGCCATATATAAGTCTATCTGAACCACTTCGTCGTTGCCTACAACAGCATGGCAAAGGATCTGTTTTCAAGTCCGACACAACACTAAGAACGCACTTAGTACGACCTAAGGATCCACAAAAACAAGATGGAGTAGTGAATAAGATTCCTTGGGAATGCGGCAAAGTATACATTGGCGAAACGGGAAGGTGGGTGCATTAACGGATTGAGGAGCACGATCGTGATGTTTAACAATTATTCCTCGAGCCCGAATGGGTTTTGAGTCAATAGCCCATGAGGCCGAAGGCCTAATGGGTTATTGACTCAGTGGCCATGAGGGCGAGAGGTATAATTGTTTTAGTAAAATCCAACTAGTTGGTCAAAAATATCGAGACAAAACAACTTTAGCTAGTTAAAGCTAGACTTTAATCCTTTTTTGCCGCCAAAAAGCCTGCGCTTTTCGCTACTAGTGGGCTGTAACATATAGCCTAGTAGTAGCTCAACCAATCAGAACGCAACATTGATAATAGACCACTAGTTGGATTTGACTAAATAATTATATACTGGGAACAATTTTCGTAAATAGCTCAGGGGCACCCAACGACTGTCTTCTCCTACAGACATTGTTAACCTCTCTTTAGGCTTTCCAGGCTACTTTTAGACCTCTAGAAATGCATTCTAAGCGGCGCTTTAAAATTTGTATCTGTTCGATCATCCTAGGGCATGCGCAACCTGAATCTGCTCTAAATTATTAGGGCTCCAGTATTACTTTCCGGAAAATTGTAGCTGATGCAAAGCGAAAATTTTTCTTATTCCTCTCCCCATCGCATCCTTGAGTCCGAAACTTTTAGGCTTCCTTTTTACTGCGAAAAAAGCCTAATCTGGAGGGTAAAATGTGAAAAATTTAACTTCAGAAAATTGTAGGGAATTTATTGTATAAATTTCGAAAATTGTATATGACTGGAACAGTCATCTGGAAAATTTTAAGCGTCCTCAACAAATAGAAAAATCTAGGCAATATTATTGCTTCTCCGAACAGACATTTACAGAAAACAGTCGTTGGGTGCCCCTGATAGCTGCTACTTAAACTTCTGTCGGCAAACTCGAGGAAAATTATGCGCTGAACACGAAAAAAAGTGTTTCCTAAGCTTAATAATTTTTTAAGTTTTTAAGCATAAACGGCTGGCTATAAATAAATGGACCCTAATAACTAACACGGAAACAACGCTAAGCATTTACCCACTCTTCATAACCCCATTTGGCTAGAGAAACACTGCCCCCAAATTATCTTAATATAATTTCCTAATCATAAACTAATAGATAGAGGCTGCTAAATAAATCGCGCTATATGGAAACTACTAGCTCTTGAAAACTCATTTATAAAGCGGACTGCGTGTATAGTGTGTTCACTGATAGCAACCCAAAAAGAAATAAATACCTCATCACAAGGATTGCGCTACGCCGAAAGAGCACTCCTAACATGATCAGTACAATATTTCAACCTCTGCAACCTGGTCATTTTTGCAGGGCCAGTGACGTTCGTAGTAATTTGCAGTATAAAAACAACAACATATTCGGCTACCGAAAGCTTAGGACAAAAAATACTCACCTTTAACTAAAAAAAAATACAAAGAAGTTGGATTTCCTTGTATCACCGGACCAGTTGCTCTCCCGGAGACTAAAAAAATAAAGAAATAAGGAAATCGCAAAATTCAAACGAATTTTGTTTCTTCTCCGATCTTCAACTCCAAAAACAACCTTAGCTTGCAGAGTTTGGAAAAATGAGAAGCGCGAAAATTATAAAGAATAGGGTTGTGCCACGTGAAACAAAAAATTTCGATGGATTGTTTGAAACTTCATTGATACACCGACAGAAAACAGGATGGTTTTGAACTGTTTTTCGTGATATTTGAACTCTTGTCGGCTAAAAAAACAAACAAACAACACTTAGCTAGGGAGCTTACCATTTGCAGGAGCCCACAACCTGGAGCGAACAACTTCCATGTACTCGTGGGAAGGCGTTTTCAGTTTATTTTTAGAACGGTTTTGGCCGAATTTAGAATATCTTTTAAGTCCCACAAACCAGACAGCAAAACCTAAAGACCTAAAAATGCAACCTCGTCCCCAGGGCGCTTTTCCCTGGCTTTGGCGCCCCGCCCCCAAAGCCAGGGAAAAGCGCCCTGGGGACGAGGTTGCTAAAAATGATAATTTTTGCCTTGTAACGACGTTACGTTTTTCTTTTTGATATCTTATACTTCGAATGCATTCATAAACTCGGCAGTGGTTCCATTTTCGCGGGAAAATTGCCCTAAATTGTGTCTAAAAACAAACCGGTCGATAGAAACGCCGTGCATAGGCCTAGTATAGAAGTTAATTGCTCTCTCAGGGTTATGGGCTCCTGCCATTTGTTAGAACTGGCTGACCAGACCAGTTAATTGTAAGGATAAATCCACTACAAATTAGTACTATCCAGTCACATCTGTTTATTCCTAAATCGCAGTGATGGTTTTTAGTAAACTTTTTGAGAAAAGATTAATATTTCGCTTTCAAAATGACTGGTCCGGCCGGCCAGTCCTGACATTTGGAAAACACCCTTTTTCTGTGGCCAATAGAGTACTAGCGGTGCGACGTCATAAAAAAATTAAATTTGTGAAATTATGGGATTTGCCGCGATATTCTGAAAGAGCAACATCCAAGTGACCTACTTGCCAAAAATTAACATTTCGCGGGGCAAATTGTCCCTGAGATTTAAAAGGATTTTTAGGGAGTCATCAGAGCATAACTGGGCTAATATCTCAGAGATCTAGACAATTTGCCCTGAAATGCTAATTTTTGGCAAGTACAGTAGGCCACTTGGATGCTGTTCTTTCAGAATATCGTGACAAATCCCATAATTTCACAAATTTAATTTTTATGGCGTCATCACTTCAGAATTCTATGGCTTCGTTTTCAGTAGGCACGTGGCCAAAAAATCATGTGATTACGTATCGAGCAGTAACAGCAAGCTAAGGTACTATAAAGTATGTCGTTTGTAATCACCTGCTGATTTTTGACGTTTTTAAAAAGTACTCTGAGTTATTATACCACACTGATGAGTACTTATCTATAATAAACAGCCAATTCGAAGGTCTAAATGATCGAACCAAGCTTGGTAAACAAAATATTCGTGTTCAGCGCATGATTTCACTCAAAAAAGTGTATTCACCAACTTTTCCCCAAATTTGCCGACAGAAGTTTTCTTTTGCCAAAGTTGTCCCAGTCCAGTACGGCTTTCAGGAACTTAAACTTTGGCAGTTTATGAACACGCCAGTAAGACCGGGCATTATCCTCTCTGGGACGATTTATTGACCGAGACCCGCACTGGCACTCTAATAGAGTTAAAGAAGCTGTTCACAGAAGACTCACCCTAACAACATCAACAGAAAAGTGGAATTGAGATTCCTGAAGCGTGGATGTAGACAATCAGACAAATTAACAGCCGATCGCCACCACAGCGGACCGCTGATGGACCAGATTCCTCCTCTGACAATACCATTAATGCTTTGGATCGAAACCCACCAATGAGCGAGGTTCGTGATACACGAGAAGCTAACAACCATGGTGGTACAAATGTAGTGCGACTCAGTAAATCGACGCTATCGCCTGATGAAGACCTGCAGTGTGCGTTCGAAACGTCGCGATCAAATATCAAAGTAACAATCGTGAGACCGACTATAAACTATACCCTTTATACACATTATCCGCGATGTTTAATATCTTTCATGACAATATTACATCAATAAAGCAGTGACGGAGAAAAAGAGAAAAAATATATATATTTAAATCTCCACATTATAAAAAGAATACATGTAGAAAATAAGGTCGAAGTACTTCTGTTATATAGGAAGTTATTCACGTTCATCCTGAAAATGTTAAAAAGATATTTCTAAAAAAATATTGATATAAATTAAGTGCAAGTGGTCAAAATATTTCAGGAAATTAATAACATTCATATTCAACTAAACTGTTGAAAAGCAAAAACATTTCCACGAAATATTTATATCAATAAAGTAGTGAAGAAAAAAGAGAGAGGGCAAAAAGCATGTTTAAATTTACAGTAAATTATGAAAAGAATAAATGAAAACAAAGCAAGTGTGCAAAATACATCAGGAGTTTATTTAATATCATAGTGATGATTAGAAATATTAAATATTTATATATTGATTAATTAAAAGCGAGTGGTCAAAACTTGTTGCAACTATTTTACAGCTAAGAAATGAAAACATACAGAAGTCGTAGACTTCGAAAATTTAGTGGTTTTGCCGGCATTTTTGTAAGCACTGGCTATTGATGGCATGGTGAATGTATGAAAATGTACAAAATTTCATCATATCTGTATTAAAGAATATTACAACTTTGTTTACTTATTTCTAAATACAGCGCTCGTACGCGTCATAATAAACGCTGCAGTCGGTACATTAGAAAGAAGTGAATTGGAAGAGTTTGTAAGCAAGGTTGCTTACAAACTAAACAAACCACGGGCAACAAACCCGAAAGGAAATACTAAAAAACGAAGCAGAGGCCCACGTATTAATGACGGAAATAGATACTAAGTAACGACAGGTAGTTCAAAGTACTCATTGAGGGATTCTCTATTGAGTCCTATTGACCGAATTTATCAAAAATACTGGTTTAGGATTTTATGAGTCCAGCTTCATGTTCATGTTCTCTTTTTCTCTCGACGTTTTAGTGTTTTCTGTTCTTGCTCTTATTATGATTATTTCGTTTAATTTTGTATGAAGAGGGAAGAGAGAAGCTATTTTCTGATCTTAATATCTTTCTCGCGAACACGATTAGAGGAAGTATGATCTGTCGATCTGCTACTTAAGGACCTGCTTGGAGGTGTTCGAGACTCCCACAGTTGTCATTTACTGGATACTTTTTTTGAGGGTCAGATCTTAGCTGTTAGTTTAATTCTGGCCAATCCTGAGCTTTCAGTTTAACTTATTGATAACCACAATAGGCTTGACTGAGATGGCAACTTCATAGTAGTTGAAGTATTATTATAGTAATTTACTTCTTAGCTTATAAGTTTTATCGTGCTGTAATTAAGATAAGTTGTTCGATCTGTTACCTGGATCCCGAACCTATATCTTAATGTTTCTTTGAGCAATTAAATCCAAGATTTTGCTGTTTTTTTGACTGAGTTGTTTGACCTGAATATCATGGCAACTGGTAATGGTTTCAGACACGATGGCCTTAATTAGTATGTGCTCAAGGGGAAGACTGTCCACCTTAAAGCTAACGTATACACCTACATTAATGTGGTTCAATTTTATCCTTAGTTTAAATCTCCCCGGCCCTTTTTAAACTCAGTATCGGACATTACCATACCCCAAATTTAAACCAAATACTAAAACTGAAACACAACATAGCTCTAGATCCGTTGGTATATATCTTCATTGACACTCCTTCATCAGCCGTGCGCGAAGTGTGGTTACCTGTAAACATGCTGTAAACTTGAAAAGTACGCAGGAACATTGATGCTTTTAACGACACCAACGACAGCGAGTTTCTGGTATCGTTTAAGTTAAGCGCTGTGTGTTCAGTGGCAGATCCAGACGACCTTCAGATTTGGGGGGCGGTGTCATAACATCTTTTTTTTCGGCTCTTGGAGCCTCAGTTTGGTCTAAAACTAAGGGGTTGGGGGGGGGGGGGCGGCGGAGGGGGGGCTCCTCCCCTGGATCCGCCACTGAAGTTGAATTTTTCGACCAGCACCTCTGCCATTTTATAGGGAAGTAGCGCCTGGATCAGATCGACCCCATAGTATTTATTAGAGATCTCAAAATGATAGAAACAACTATATAACAACAAACCTTTGCCGGGCTGCAAGTATAAATAACCAGGAAAGAGACTCAAAAAGGATTTCCTTTGACTAACCCTTTTTTATATTGCGCGCCGTTCTAGTTTGAGTGAAAGTTTAATCACAAAAAAATATCTAATTACCGTTCAGTGCCCTATGTTTTTAATAATAATACTCTTGTTAATTGCTCTTTTGAACAAAGGAGTTTTCCTACTAATGTGAGGCTTAGGGCCTATTTATTGTCTTGAAAATGTGTTCATCACTTGAAGAATAAAGCGTCATTGATCGAGAACTCGTACATTCAGGGTCCTTTACCTTTTTTGCCGTTGTTTAAATTATTCTAAAACCAAGCATGAGTAACGAAATAGAGCCAGCGGATAATGCCGGCGAATGTCCTACTCAACATTCGTTTTTCATTAATCATGAGTGACATACGTCCATATGGATGAACTGTATGTTTTTTAAACTTTGGACCAGAACTTTCAAGTGCTACGCGACCTTCCCAAATAAAAACCTCTTGGAAATACATTTCCTCCAAAAACGATACAAAAGAGCGTTTGAGCCTTTTGATTGACGGATATCTATTCCTAAATGGTGTTGATTTCGAAGGTCGCCTATACAAGTGAAACTCAAAGGTAACTTGACAGTGAAAACTCAACTCCAAATCCTATGGACACAATCTTCTTTCCGTTGGTGGAGAACGTTATATGTCCATTTTTAGCTATTACAAATAGCTTCGCTTGGTTACTGAACAAAATTTTATGTTGTAGCACTAGATACTGAAAGATATATGTTTCATTAAATGGGCAATGGCTTTAAGTTTACTGACTTAATTATTCATTCATACTGTTGTCAAGAGGGGCAAGTTTTATGCTTTGGAATGTTTGAAAAAGTGACGTTAAAAATCAGTTTAAATTTCCTTTTAAACAAAAGGACTTTCTTATAATAATTTCATTCTACGCTGAGTCATTGCAATGTACGAGCAGCAACCAACTCGAAGGTAAGCTATGTGAGAATGTAAAGATCCCTTGTGAAAAAAAATACTCTTTAACATGGTTCTGTACTCTAAGGAAAAGTGAAGAAAGCCAAGTGCTCTGAAATTGTGAAATCCAGGGTACGAAACATATTCTTTTTGCGAAAAAAAAGGTTTGCTAGTTTGGTCGCCCAAAAACAAACTAAAGGCGTCAGGAAGGCGCCGCTAGAGCACAACCTCTACATGTCACAAAGAGCATTTATAAAAGCAGGTTGAGTTCGATCGTCCGGGTGAACGTAGTCGTTAATAGGACTGTTGTTGTTGACAGTGACTGACGTTTCGACAACCTGTGCGGTAATCATCTTCAGAGTCAGAGTCGAAGAACATTTTTAGTAAGAATTTTAACTCCAATATAAATATCTACAATACAAGGCTAAATCGTACTTGAAAACCTAACGGTTAATAAAGAGTTATTCATACGCGCACAAAGCATTGAATTAGGGGATCATTATACGTTTAATTCTGGGAAACTTTGCACCTACCCCTCCCCTAAGCCAACATGATCCGAAATGGGTATAAAAGAGGTTTCTTTCCTAAAATAATACCTAGAAAGTTTGATCACCAACAGAGAGTGATCCTATCATTCTCTCTTGGTTTGACACAAGGCATTGTAGACAAGAATGGATGTCCGATTGACTTCGGCCCTCCTGGACTCCCTCTCTTCATTGTAGACTAAATGTCTTGGCTACAATTTAATTCTAGCATCGAAACTGGATAAAGACGACCCCCCCTGGAATCATTATATTCGGTTAAAACTAATGAAATATCTTTTAATCAAAACGTTTCTCATTCCGGACTCAGTTACGTCATCTGCTGCAAGTGTTCGACTATTGACTAGATTTTGGCAATTAGGGGCAATAATGGCTTTGGCGATGATGATTTCATAAAGTTGTCTCTCCACTTCTTTACTTAATAGGTCTCTCAAAGACTAAACCCACTCCTTTACTTGGTTTTCCAATAAGAATACTTGAACCTCCACTCAGGTAAAACCCACATCTTTATTTGGGTCTACCCTAAGAAGAAACCCGCTCCTTTCCTTGGGTCTAGCTGCACTAAGATGAAACCTGCTCCTTTACTGAGGTCTCCACTAAGGTGAAACTTGCCCCTTTACTCGGGTCTCCACTAAGATGAAACCCACTCCTTTACACGAGTCTCACTTAAGATGAAACCTGCTCCTTTAATTGAGTCTCCACTAAGATGAAACCCACTCTTTCCGTGAGTGTTACCTAAGAGTGGAACCTGCTTTTTTACTTGATCATGAGTCTCTTCCTAAGATGAAACCTGCTCCTTTATAACTTGCTTTTCCATTAAGCTAAAACCAACTCCTTTACATGAGTCTTATCTAAAATGAAACCTACTCCTTTGCATGGGTCTGCACTGAGATTAAACCCAGCCCATTACGTGCGTCTCCACTAATACGAAACACACTCCTTTATATCAGTCTTACCTAAGATGAAACCTGCTCCTTTATAACTTGCTTTTCCACTAAGATAAAGCCCACTCCTTTTCATGAGTCTTACCTAAGATGAAACCCACTCCTTTGCATGGGTCTGCACTGAGATTAAACCCAGTACATTACTTGCGTCTTCATTAAGATGAAACCTACTCCGTTACGTAGGTCTCAAGTAAGATGAAACCCATTCTTTTGATTTTGATGGAATTCCACTAAGGTGAAGTCCAATCCTTTAATTGGGTCTCCACTAAGATGAAACCCACTCTTTTGATGGGTCTCCACTAAGGTGAAATCCACTCCTTTACTTGGTCCGCCACTAAGATGAAACCAACCCTTTTGATGGGTCTCCACTAAGGTGAAATCCACTCCTTTACTTGGGTCTTCACTAAGATGAAACCCACTCTTTTGATGGGTCTCCACTAAGGTGAAATCCACATCTTTACTTGGGTCTCCACAATAACGAAACCCACTCTTTTGATGGGTCTCCACTTAGGTCAACTCTACTCCTTTACTTGGGTCTCTACTAAAATGAAACCCACTCCTTTGTTGGGTCTCCACTAAGGTGAAATCCACTCCTTTACTTGGGTCTCCACTAAGATGAAACCAATTCTTTTGATGGGTCTCCACTAAGGTGAAATCCACGTCTTTACTTGGGTCTCCACTATAACGAAACCCACTCTTTTGATGGGTCTCCACTTAGGTCAACTCTACTCCTTTACTTGGGTCTCTACTAAAATGAAACCCACTCCTTTGTTGGGTCTCCACTAAGGTGAAATCCACTCCTTTACTTGGGTCTCCACTAAGATGAAACCAGTTCTTTTGATGGGTCTCCACTAAGGTGAAATCCACTCCTTTACTTGGGTCTCCACTAAGATGAAATCCACTCCTTTACTTGGGTCTTCGCTAATGTGAAACTCTTACCATACGAGGGGTAATTTTTCATGGTCATTAACGACAATCCCGGGGGTAATATTTTGAACTATTCTTTGGTATTAGAGGAACCCGTTTTTCTGTATTTATCGCTCTGAGTTCTCTTGGTAATATCATACGTCGAGTTCTTATCAGCGGTTTTGCAAGTGGGACATCAATTTTATTTCTAGCAAAAGCAATCCAATTATAAACAGTAAAAATGACTTCCTTATCTATGGTGTTCAGTACTTGCTCTCAGTGACTTTGATAACCAGCAGTGAAAAAGCACCCGCCTCCCAGTAATGTACCCTTGTTTGGAGTCGCAGCGTCGACGCTATTTATGGGTTTAGTCTCTTGATTCCTTTACCTACTGAGGGGTTCTCTAATACTTCCGTTTCCAAAGCTAAGTCCAATTCGATCTGGAATGTATGTTTCCAAATAAATGAGGACACTAACAGGGCCACGGGGTTTATCAGAGTTTGAAACTTTCAAGTGGCGCCCCATTTCTTTGACTCTACTTTTTGGAGGTTTTCGAGTCGAAAGCCACCAAAGCAATTGATGAAGCGTGCCCCCGGTCCCCGCCCATTCCCCTCTCTCTTTGCTGGTGTTTTTTTTTTTTAAACGATCGTTTAAGCCTGTGAATAAGCTATTGCCTTATCACTTCATGAAAATGCTAAGAAAACCTGCCAAGTATCCCGATCAAGCCCGATTTGTGGGGATTGTCTGTTAACTGCATATAACGTTGAGATGATTGATAAAATGACCCGCAAACAACGATCACAGTTAAGTAGCTTCTATTTAGTGCACATGTATGATGACTTATAAAAATATAATTACACTCAACTACATATAAATATAAATGTCTTTGATTGTTTTAGTTGCGAATTTCTACACAAACAGCATCGTAACGTTTTAACCAGAACTATTCAGATTCGAGATCAAGATTCAGAGAGAAGATGATGTCACTTATACAATAGACAACTGAGATCGCGGCAGGTAACAGCGGGTGGGACTTGCAACCTAAATCAAAGGAAAAACTCTTTAAAATTATTCTCCATTACCTGAAAAGAATAGAAAGCTAAACTATCTGAATAATGTATAAAGAGAGAAATGTTTGGGGTATCCAACAAAAACTAACTTAATTGGAGAAGTATCACTCAGTTTTTTTTTCTTTTCTGATAACAGCTGCCCAATTCTTCCTTCCAATCACACATTCTTGGATCTTCCTGGCTACACCTAGCTAGAAGGTGATAGAAGTCATCATGGCCGACCAAGCGCCAGCTAATCAGTCAACAACCCTTAGTCAGAAAGTCTCCAATGGACTTTCTTCCGTTAAAGATTCCATAAAGAAGGTGCAACTACCACTGAAAAAAGGAGCTCTGTCAGGCGGTGTTGTGGTCATGAAGCTGGGCTTAAGCAAGTTGGCTTTCCAATGCCCTGAGCAGAATTACGGAGTTTACAGCATGCTGTTTATAATAGCGCCTGCAGTGCTTTTACTTTGCCTTGCTTTGATGCTATCGAAACCTTTTTGGCATCTGACACTGGGATCCTGTTTTCTTCCAAGACGTTTTCGCCAAAGTATCTGGAGGCGTTACCGTAAATCTTTGTATCTTTGCCTCTTGGCTCCAATTGTTTGGCTTTTGTTTGTTTATGTTCAAGCTGATTATTACGTTTGCTACAAACTTGGTGCGGTTGAACAGCGTTACAACACAACATCGAATCCCTTGGAGAAGTCCATGATTTTACTCGAGATCGAATCCATTGAAGCTGAGTCACACATGATCGCGATTGTGATGGTAGTGGTAGTTGCTCTTCTTGCGACCATTGGCATTACACTGGACCGCTGTTGCACAAAGGCGGACAAAACCATTACCGATGAAGAAGAATACGTTTTTTACTTGGCCGAGGAACAAATCAAGTTGTTTAACGCGAAGTTAGAGCCATTAGCTAAAGAGCAGGCCAAGCAAGAAGTGGAAGAGCTTTTTGAGAAATACAAGGATGTCTCAAGTGATCCAGCAGAGAAAATACGATTGATTTCAAAGGAGATTGAGAAAAAATTTCCCTGGATGGCTGTGGGAACTATCTGATGTGTTGCAAACGTTCGGGATATGTCCAGCATCAAGTTACCAAATGAGAGTCAAGAAATTTGATGAAAGTTGTGGTACTGATCGGCGGTCTGGAACTTTTAAAAACGTTAAAACTTCACAGCTGGGTAAATCGGATACCGTAAACTGATTCAATCAATAAGACTTAAAGTTAGAGTTTGCTAATAGGCTTGTCCGTCATGATTCTTCCTATATACACTTACTTCAATAAAGGTTGCTTTGGGAGTCATGCCTTGGTCTTTGAAAGCTATTGTTTGATGGTCACTCAAGCAAAGCATTCCATTGTATTCTGCGTTGACCAAATTTCAAAACAACCTTTATTGAAATAGGTGTATACATTTTTGGAAGAGTAGGTTATAAACCGATCGTCGTCCTAGAAAGACTTGTTGACGACATTCGACAATCTAATCAACCTGACAATAAGTTGTCTTGTATCAAATTCAATAACGAACGTTGACTGAAATTAAGGGTGCATTAGGAAATCTGGATTTAGTTTTTGAAACAGATTTTCAACAACACACGAAATCCAAGAACCGATTTTTACGCCGAAAACTCCGTCCTTATTTCCATCATTTCTGTTTTTTTGGGAAATCCAGAAGAGTATTTGAAAAAAATGCCGTTCTATAATTGGCAAAAAAAGACTACTGATCACGAGAACAATTTTGCAAATCCGTTTTCGGACTTACCTATATAAAACACTTAAGCGGCGTATTTGGTTTTCGTAATTTAAATTCACCTTCAGAACGGATAAATCAGCGTTGAAATTTTTTATTTTTTGGATTTCGCGTTTTATGCAAACTGCTAAATCCGGATTTTGCAATGGAACGCATCCTTAGCAAAAGTCTCCCATATGAGAAGGGCGAGGATGCTTAGCGTTTTAAGTCTAAATTGCAGATTTTGGTGTCACTCTGGGTGTTCATGAAAGGCTGTAGGACGTCAGTTCTTTAACAGCGCTTAAGGGAAGCTCCGTCCTTTAGTCCTGGGCAATAAGATTTTCTTGCAGGGCAAATACCTTTTTAATAAGCTCACTCGCCTAATAGTCAACAGCAATCATTAACTAAGATATGCAAGCAATGGCCCTGTGCAAGCAAATTGTGAAACAGTTTGTCGAAAGAATAATCTGGAATTCGCCATTTGCACAACTCTTATAAGACACTTTGTTTGCAACCCACCCCCCCCCGCCAAATTTTGCATAACCTTTGTTTCGTGAAACAGTAAAGAAATTGTTATGAAGATCAAAACAAGGTGTATTATGGGAACACGAAGCAAAGACAGCATGATGACATCGAGTAGATCTCAAAACCGAACTGACCAATGGCAGATGACATCGGAAAAAACCGAACTGACCAATGGCAGAGCGGAAAATTGAGCGCGTTTAGTCATTTCCGCACGTTTTTTGCGTTCACATTTGATGTGATGTTGTCTTCGCTGAATCAGCCTAGTTTAAAGGCACTAGGCGAGTCTATGAGTAGCTTAGGCCTGACTGGAAACAGTTTATTAAATAAGCAAAATGTAATGAAAGATTCGTTTATTAAATATCTGAGAGTGTCATATATTTGATATCGAGAGAACCAGAATGTTTCATTCAGCTGTGAAATAACGACTCGGTTTACATCATCAATTTCCCACTTAAATATTTTTAAAAAGGGTTTACTCAAACTATTATAGTTAACTGCAACCTCTTTTATTCCATTATTCCCTGGGAAGTGATCTGCTGTGACTCTAACAGTCATATAATTTACAATTGTATCCACAGAAATTTCGAGAATCTTACTTGTAGGTAAAAAATTCTTGACTGATTTTCATTCATTGGCATTGAGTAAAGTTTGGGCATAAATAATTTAGAAAAAGAGGTAAAAATTCTTGTTACACATTCCAAAAGGTCCCCAAAGTGAATTCAGGAGCAAATGAGGCCGGAAACAGACCTTAAGAAGTTTTTTTCTAAACTAAAAGTCGATTACTCCAACGACTATTTAATTTTGACTGCCGCGATGTATTTGTAGTGATGCCTTTACGACTTGTGCGTCATCCTATATTGCAACTGTTCTTGATAATACACAGAGTGATACCACGATGGGTTGGTCAGTGGTAATGCTAGCACCAGGAACAAAATAAGACCAATCAAAAATGACGCAGTTATAACTGCAAAAAATAGAAAACAAAACATTTGTTTAGTCAAGAGTGTTTTATACTCATGGCGTGAGCATTATTAGGGAATCGACGAGGATAAAAACAGCTAAAAAAAGCTAGCTTAAATATGTTAAAAAACTGAAGGTTTGGAGCGCTAATTTTGGTAGATGGAGAGGAGTTAAATATGAACATTTAGTGTTTCCGTTCCTTGCGCTGCTGACCTATTTTCCCAACGACGCAAGCCACACAACAACTTATTCGTGCAAGACAATCCAGCAATGGCCCGGACCGAGCAAGATGCGTTCAAAATGGAAGCTGGAATTCGAGTTCTTTTCAGCCCATGGTTCCGATCGACTTTCGTTGCCAAAGTTCCTTATCAGTTGGAAGGGAACGAGAACGAATACACTGCTACTCGACAAGAGCAGGAGGCGTAGTTCATGGCAAAATTTTCAAGCTTAAGCAAAACTGTGTCGTTTAGCTAATTCTACCGCGTTAATTTAAGTTAAATGCATAACACCTGATAAAACTTACGTCGCGGAAATTTCGAGCTTGGCACCTGTTCAACTTGAGGAAATCCCATGAAATTACAAAAACTATGACATACTACAGGACCAATTAGATGACCTAGGAAACAAAACAACAGAGACGATTATAACTGGGGCATTTCTTAAGATGCGATGTTTGCTAAACCCTAACGTTCTGTATCTAGAAATCGGACTGGCGTGCTAGAACGCGAGAAACACGCGAGGGAAGTGGGAGGGGTTATCTTTTCACTCCTTCCTTCCATCCCTTACGCGCACTTCGCGCTCCCGACCTCCACATTTCGTCTTTCCCCGTTTCCTTTCCAACGAATTTTAGCTCTTTTTTTCTCAATTTGCCCTATTCATAAAATGCAGATGCATAACTTTGTTTTGGAATTATTGATTTTTCAGGTAGGATTTTTCGTTCCACTGACAACAACTAGGTTTTAGCTCCCATTGCTGAAAATTCAGCATTTTTCGGGTTTCAATATTTCTACAGTCTCTGGTTTTGCTGAAATTGTAGTTCATTGGTGAAAAGTATAATTCCTACAAAATTTAAAGTGAGTCTCACGAACTTCCAGTACTTAATTAGCAATGTTCAGTTGTTTGTTTAATTTGTGCATGACTCTGGGTTCGAAACACAGCAATACACTCACCAGTTCGTAAAAACAAAAAAGCAGAGTAACATCCAAAGACTGTTGTGTAACCAAACTGAAAGACTAAAAAGGAAACCATTAATATACATTAAAACTCTGGCTTGACATAAAATTGATGAATTTCCATCATTATTCTATTCAGTTACTGAGCCTACATCTGCAAACTCATACCCATTATGCGCAACTCCACATGCGCACAGATCACGTCTAAACAGCATTTCTGCGGTTTTATTAATCATCACACATTTAACAAAAACGAAATGTCTCGCTGTTAAAGTGTGCCCCTCTTTGATACACTGCTTGTAGTCCGACATTTCTCTCAACGAGACAGTTCTCGCTGTCTAATCTTTTACCATGTTAGAAGCTTTGGCGACTATAGCAAATCGTCAGACAACCCCTAAAAAAGATTGAGGGTCGTCGAAACTGATCGATCTATCTTCAGCAATGTTCTGAGGTAGTCAGAACAAGTCATCTTCGGTAACATTCGTCAATTGTCGGAACGGTTCGTAAATCCAGGTACACTTCAGTCGGGTAAAGTTGGGAGGGACACTGTGTTTGGTTACATGTCGAGGAATGCAGTATCAGGAGCGTCAATATACTTGTTAGCTACTGCTTACACTGTAGCCTGCGAGCAAGCTCTCCGTGGCGCTCTGGCGGAGGGGTGGGAAAAGGAAGGAGAGCTTGCAACTTAAATATCTGCATCGAAAAAGTCGATGTAAAATGCTGATTAGCGTAAATGATCTTAGTAATGACGTCATTACCTCTGGCACGTGTTTTTCAATGTTTGGTTACATGTGCGCTCGTTTCCGCTTCGAGCTGATTGGCGGAAATCTGACAGCTCAATCGACAGCGAGCCTCAGGGGAATTGGAGTAGGAATTCATATTCCAGAGACGTAGTTGCAAGATTTCCTTTCTTCTTTTCCCACCCCGCCGACAGAGCGCCCGGGAGAGCTTGCTCGCAGGCTACTTACAGTGTAGATGACTGCAGCTAGAACTTACTTGCACTAAACCAGACATCTTTTGGATTTTCCCCATGCTGCAGTCTTTCAATAACATGGTGAATATGAGCTAAAGAACAGGGCAAACTATGTCAATTATTTTTGGTAATGAATTCATGACCTTAATTAATCTGTATTGGAAATTACGTACCGTAACCCCGTGTTTTTACTTTTTGTAAGTCTTACACTGACACATCAACCATACTTCACGCCAAAGATAACGATAAAAGGAAACGCTTGCTACGCAGGCTACGGTGGTGGTTGTATGTGCTGGTCAATACATGTAACAGGCGGCCAAAACTCACGTTAAGAGAAAAAAGAGTCTAATTGTGCTAATTATTATGTTAAACACTCAAGATTAGACAAGATATGGTGTAAAAATCTGGAATAGTCTACCGTGTGAAATGCGTAAAAATGCCCAAAAATAACTTTAAAATCAATGTCCGCGACAATTTACTCCGAATACTTTCAGAAGAAAATGATTATATCAATTTAACCCGACTTAATAACAAAAATTTCCGGAAAACTTAATTGAATTGAAGTTATTTTTATTTATTTATTTAACATTTTTTACTTTTTTCTCTAGTCTTGCTTGTGAGCTATTTGTATATATATAACATATGTGTAACCACTGCTCTCCTCGACTAGCTAATCTGCTAACTGAGGGCAATGGATATTGCTTGCTGTAAAATTTGCAATAATTAATAAACAGTTGAAACAGACGCGCCGTTGTCGCGCTTGAGGCGAGCGTTGAAAATAGGATTTTGTCCGAGAAGTACATTTACAAGACAGAGATCTGCGCACCAACACCAGCGCGTCCAGCACGCGTCACCTATGGTAAGTAAATAACTTTACACCCTTTCCTCGTAACGTGAGTTTGGATCGCTTGTGGGTAAATTAGCAGTGCTGGCACAGACGTCGTGGTTTAAATGGTCGAGATAGAGGCTTGATGGTTACATGAAAATACAGTCTTACCTACTCCAAAAAATAAAGGACAAATAAATATTGGCATGACATTCCCAAAGCCTGGCACTAACATCGGCAGCAGACATGCTCTGAATACAAACTCCTCGCTTAATGGAGCCTAGGGGAAAAGATTTGAAAACACCATGATAAACTATGTTATTTACTCAAATAAACGCCGAGAGGATTATTTTTCACACCTCAAATGTGGAGCTTATTCGAGGGTAGCTCGCTAATTTTAGGGCGCTGTTTATTTGAAAGTTGGACGCGACAAAGAATTGTGTTAACTATGGTATTATTAACGTCTTTTGATTTTGATTATATATCAGGGTCTCGGCGCTTTTTTGGGGGCAGTGCTCAGAACCTTTTTTCTCTCAAATGCGGTGCTTATTTGAGGGCAGCGAGGTTATCATTGATGGGCACAATGTACACCACATAAGCATTATATCGGGACAATTGCTCTTACAGAACTGACACTCTTCTGTGTCGCAGTCACTATGGAGATGAGTCAGCTATTATTGCAGTGTACCAGGTGAAGACTGATAAAAATAAGCTACAAATCACACAGTATAACCTGAACATGGAATGTCTTACCACAAGGTAATTCCGTAAATTAATAGAATTAACCCAGCTTGATGGGTATTCGAGAAAACCTGCAGCAAACAACAACAAAAAAAAAAGGTAGAAAAAATGTTTGTTAACAGTCAATCAAATAATGTTGTAATTCAATTTTCACTCTCTTTAACGCTACTGGAGTCCATTGCAAGTTCCACAATCTTATTGTCTAATCACCTCACTGCTTATCAGTTTACAGATTTAAAATAAACAAAGAAAAGCCATTGTGCAATGCTAAAAAGTTGGCTACAGTAGTAATAAATGTGAATCTGCAAGCAAATTTAAAGCTGAACCTTACCTTTTACACTGACAAATTCCCTACTAAAATACAGTAACATGGTAGGACCAAAGAACAAAATCTAGAAGATATAAATTATATATACCAGTTAATTCATCACTGAACGTAATGTTTAGAATTTTCTTTGAAAAATCAAAATTATAATAATAATAATAATAACAATAATAATAATAATAATAATTAATAACTTCCTTATCAGTGGAGGCATGAGTGGCCGAGTGGTTAACACCTCGAACTCCGGATCTGGAGATCTGGGGTTCAAGCCTCGCCCGTCGCGTTGTTTCCTCAGACAATGAACTTTACTTGCCTTTGTCTCTCTTCACCCAGGTGTATAAATGGCTACCTGCGACATACTGCTGGGGGGTAACCCTGCGATGGACTAGCATCTGGTCCAGGGGGGAGTAGCAGTACTCCTAGGTGCTTTATGCTAATGAAGCCGGGATAAGCTCCGGCCGTTTGGGCCTTTGGCTCGTGTGCACCTGTACATTTTACCTTAACAAATTCACAGCAGATACATGATTAAAGAATAATAACGTAACATTGTCTTACCATAGTCAATAGTAAAGGGAACAAAATTGCAATGAATATACTTTGAAAATGTATTCCTAGATATTTCCAAAGGGATAGTGCCTAGAGAGTAAACAAAAATATATATTATTTATTTATATTATTTTCCTTGATTAAAAGTCTCAGGCATTCACGGAATGGAGCTCTGCATTACAATTTCGTCAGAGCTATGTAGTGAATAATGTCTCTCTTTGCTCCTTGCCGCTTGGGATATTTTGCTCTGCGAAACATTGCAAAACGGCTACAATGGTCTAACATTGGTAAAAATGGAAACTGAAGCTCTCAACCGGTCATGAAAATTTATAGTATTTGTGGTTGAGAATTTCTGTTTAGGAAACTGGGAAGGGTTCTATTTATCCACTGTTTTGACTGGGTGGAAAGTCAAGCACACTTGCCTAAAAAAAAAAAAAACGGTTTCCTCTTTTCCTTCTCTCTATTATTAATGATTATTAGAGCTTTATAGAACTCATAACCAAACAAGATCATTTTTGCTTTGATCAAGACTGCATAATGACTTGACTGTGATGCTACTCCCGCTAGGCATCTATTGTTTTCCTATTGCCTGTGAAAGAATAAAGATCTTTCACCAATTTCCACCTTTAAATAATAGGTATACACACGCATTTGCTTGACAAAACAATTCGTATTTACTAATGAGGTGTTTCAATACGCCTGAGAACCCAGGCAATTTTTTCAGCACCTACACCTGCATGTTTGCACCTCTGCAGGAAATGGTCTATGTGTTTTGCAGATAACACAAGAGTAATACTCTATTGGTGGTTTTCACTGTAATGCAATCGAAAACTATAAATCAAAACCATGGAATGTCTGAAGCCAACAATTTCAGATTTCAGAATATCGATAAATTAAAAACCAGACCAAGTCTCACGCCTGCACAGTTTTCCACTTCTGAGTTGCTCTTCAAAATGTCACAGAAATTTATAGGGCTCACTATGGGGATGCCATATTTGTGTTCCTCTGAGGAGCACAAATATGGCGGCCGGAAATAATGCAAACATCTGGTTTCAGTATCGCCACAAATTTGATCCGTTGTTCACTGCGAACGAGCAAATCATTCCCTTAAACAAGTTTTCTAATACTTCCACCATTCAAAGGGGATATCATGTGATAAAATTATTTTTTTAGCATATGTGACGGCCTTCTCGGTCGCCAATATTGATGTCATGACACAAGGAGTAAACTTGGGAAATTAGACAAAGCTATATTTTCAAAACGGAAAATGCTATCACGTGAAAAACTTGCATAGAAGTTTACTTCTAAGAGATCATTATTTTGCTAGATGGAAACAAAACCTTAAAAGTCGTTGCAATTTTGGAGTTTGGATTTTTGTGACATCACTTGAAAACCAAAAATAGAGTTCTACACACACAGGTAGCAAATTCTGTTAAATAAACCGTCAACTTAAAGTGCTTCTAACATATTTGATCTCTAAGGGTAGAAAAGGAAAAATGAATTCATTGATTCATATTTTATGTCAGAGATTTCAGGTAATAAGAAATAATTCATGGTCAGTTTTGACTGCCAACCTGTCTCATATACTTGAATGATCTGACTAAGAGAAGAACCTGGGCCCAAAACCAACATTAAACTCAGCTCAAATAATTGGTCATTGTGAACAAGAATCTACCCTGTGGTCAATAAATACCCCACAGTTTTATACTCTTGCCGCCCTTAAAAGTCTGTAAGGAGATAATAGAGGATTATAAACCAAAGATGGATTTCCAATGTTGCATTATTTTTACATGTGTACATGCTAAAAAGTTAAATGACATGCAAATAAAAATAAAGGGAATGAATGGAAGGTTGCGGATAAAGGTAAAGTTTAAGTGAGGTTCAACTTTTACTGTACATTAACACTAATGTTAACTTGTTACCCCATGTTACCCCTCGTTACCATTGTTAGCCCTTTTTACCCCTTGTTACCCTTGTTACCAAATGTTACCCCTTGTTACCTCTTGTTACCCTTGTTACCCTTGTTACCCCCTGTTACCCTTGGTACCGCTTCTTACCCATTGTTACCCTTGGTACCCCATGTTACCCCTTGTTACCCTTGTTACCCCACGTTACCCCTTGTTACCCCTTGTTACCCTTGTTACCCTTGTTACCCCCTGTTACCCTTGGTACCGCTTCTTACCCATTGTTACCCTTGGTACCCCATGTTACCCCTTGTTACCCTTGTTACCCCACGTTACCCCTTGTTACCCCTCATTACCCATGTCACCCCTTGTTACCCTTGTTACCCCCTGTTTCCCCATGTTACCCTTGTTACCCTGTGTTACCCCTTGTTACCCTTGTTACCCCTTGTTACCCCATGTTACCCATTGTTACCACTTGTTACCCCTTGTTATCCTTGTCACCCCATATTACCCATGTCACCCCTTGTTACCCTTGTTACCCCCTGTTTCCCCATGTTACCCTTGTTACCCCGTGTTACCCCTTGTTACCCTTGTTACCCCTTGTTACCCCATGTTACCCCTTGTTACCACTTGTTACCCCTTGTTATCCTTGTCACCCCATATTACCCATGTCACCCCTTGTTACCCCTTCTTACCCTTGTTACCCCTTGTTACCCCATGTTACCCTTGTTACCCCAGGTTACCCCTCGTTACCCCTTGTTACCCTTGTTACCCCTTCTTACCCTTGTTACCGCTTGTTACCCCTTGTTAACCTTGTTACCCCTCGTTACCCCTTGTTATCCTTGTTACCCCATGTTACCCCCTGTTACCCTTGTTACCCCATGTTATCCCTTGTTACCTTTTGTTACCTTGTGTTACCCGTTGTTCCCCCTTGTTACCATGTGATTCCCCTTCTTACCCCGTGTTACCCCATGTTACCACTTGTAACCCCTTGTTATCCCTTGTTACCCTTGTTCCCCATTATTCTCCCTTGTTCGTTAGAACTTGTTAACCCTAGCTCAGTCTGTTTAAAACTGTTAAATTTACTCCGAATTAGCATGTTACCTTTTTGCTTTTAAACGCTTCAAAATTGAAAAAATCTTGATTTGTTGTTGACCCCAAATAATTCAATGTTACCCCATGATACCCCTTGTTAACCCTTGAAATATGAGCGCAACCCTTTAATTATAGTTTGTTACCCCATGTTACCCTTTTATACCCCTTAAAATTTACCTCGTTAAAAAAAAGCACCTTTCATTTAAGATTTTTAGCAAAGTATAAGGCAAAATTAAGAGCCCTTTTTTAAGAACGCTATAACTTATTTAACCCAAACCTAAACAGTGATCTAATCCCTTTGTTACCTCTTGTTAATAATATTTATAAACGCTGCTTTTAATCTTATCGAAAGTGATTTCCGTGAAGATTTTTTAAGAAGAATACTTTGGTTTCTGACTAGCCCCTTGTTTTGCCCAAAACGATTCGTTACCCCATGTTTTACCCATGTCACCCTTTGTTAAACCTTTTCTACCCTTTGTAGTTACCCCAATGGCATGTTACCTCTTTGTTTCCCCTTTTACCCATTGTTACCCTTGTTACCTCATGTTTTGAAAACTCGCCTTGTTAATCTTTTTTTCTGTAATGTACCATGTTACCCTTGTTACCCCTTTTACCCATTGTTACCCCCTTTTTACCCCTGTTAATCTTGTTACCCCATGTTACCCCCCCTTGTCACCCTTTTACCCGTGTTACCCTTGTTACTCCATGTTACCCCTTGTTACTTTATCTACATAAAGAGTGTGATTACAGAGAGCACAGAAACTTATGTGGCATTTAAAATAAAGTCAGACTCCATTAACACAGATGATAGGAGGGCCATAGAAAGTGTCCACATTAAGCGGGTTGAGTTCAGAGAAAATGTTAGGGCTTTCTTTTCATAGGGAAAAAGCAAACTGTCCGTAATAATGAGATGTCCATATTAAGCGGGTGTCTGTAAAGAGGGGTTTAACTGTATAAACAATCTGTAGTCTTACAGTCTCATCACTTGTTCCATCTGCCCAAAGCCAAACATACAAGGGCGACATCAGAGAGACAACGAAAACGCTTCTAAACCGCTGCTTTATGGTCTTGGGATGATCTCTGATAAAGGAACAAAACAACAAGGTTAAGTTATTCATTTACTTGTGAGGTATATCACAATATGCACTTTTGTTATTCAATCATATGCAAAGAAGTGGCTGGGTATTCTGAAATTTAGCCTAGTGTACAGTTTCAGTTACTCATACATATATTGCAAACCCTGTATACATGTATATTGTTTTTGTTCTTGTTTTTTTTTTAATAGATTCATCGAAAATTTTAAAAAGCCCTTTTAATGTTACCGACCTACAGGGAAAACGTAGGATGTGTAATGTAGAATGATGGCAATGCTTTCTTTTCGTTCCGTCCGAAAAAAGTTTAAAGTCAAGTTGAGTAAATTGAAATGAATTTTGATTCGACAGAAAAGTTTCATTAAGCTGTATTTGATTGGTTATAAACGTGAACCGTCTAACAAAAACTTTCTTTGATCAGATTACTCCGAAACTGAAAGAAGAAAAAATCTCTTATAGCTTACCAACCTGGGATAAGGAGACTTTAAAACATATAAGCTGGCAACATATGCCACCGAAAGTACCAAACAAGAAATAATTCCTCTAAAAGGAGTGATCGTTGTGAAGCTGACTCGTGGGGAGAGCAAGTCCGCCATGTTGTTTATTCCAAAGAACAACTGCTGACCAATCGGTACCTGTGTTGCAAGGGGATGGGAGGGTCTGGCGGTTGGACGGGAAGGGTGGACTCTGGGGGCGCGATCCATTTAACCAAAATTCAGACCGGTCCGACCGGGAAAAGTGGTCCACCTTAAAATTTTTTTGGACCAGTGTTTTCGAAACTTTTCCGGTTGGACCGAACCGATCCATTGAGTTTTGGTCCGAAATTTACGGAAATTTTGGTTGAATGAATGGCGCCCTGGATCTCTCCATTTTTATATTTAACTTCCCCATACTTAACTTCCCCTCTACCCCGCCCCCCAAAATTAAAAAGCTAAGAAATCAGAAATTTAACGTCGGAGCAAAAGTGTTCCTGTTCTCTTCTTTCCGTTTCCTCTCCAAATATTTCGGTTTCGGAACAAACACTCAGTCATGGACTCCCGTCAGCTGAATTGAAAACTCTTTAGTTTATTTATTTGATTAGGTATTTATTTTCCTCATCAGCTTTCATTTTCTTCCTTCCTTTCTTTTGTTTATTTTTTTTTTTCAACAAAGAGTTGACAATTTCTGTCGATACGATATCGACTCCGATATCCGAACTCCACAAATAAAGCCAATCCAATATTTTGGTGTCCTTCCCGTGATCACCCCATTAAAGTCACGGCACATGTGCACTGCGTGATGCTACCTTGGGTAGAATTTTGCGCAATGCGACCCGAAACATTTTCTTCGTTTTCTGCGTCTAAACTCGTCCTTAGCATCCACAAATGTAAAATACCATGATTTAAAAGCACCTAGCTTAATCATATTAAACTTTTCTGTCAAAAATGGAGCCCTTTGATCTTGATCTGTTGCAAGAGGGAGGCTGGAGTGATGTTCTGTGGAGTTTGAAGCGCTATGCTCCAGATGGATACAAATTTGCTGTCAAGCGAACGCCTCATGAAATAAAAAGCGACGTTCTGAACTCCAGACGGGTTCAACATGCTATTCAAAAGGTAATTATGATTTCTGTACTAATTTTGCGCCATAAGAAACCTTGCAGATTAAGTATATATTACAGTGTCACAGCTGTTTTACTTGGGGAAGGCCAGAAAACTGATTGTTTTTCTGTATACGTAGTCATGAAACTTAGTCTCGGTTATGGGTTTTGATTAAAAATTTTGATTAAATACTGTATTCTGGACGTATAGCTCACAATTATTATCAACAATGAGTGTAGAAAAGGGAGAGGAAAGATTGCTCACTCATCACAGGGGTGGGGTGGAGAATTTAACCCGGTGAAACCCCGGAGAGTTTTTTAACGGGTTTAAACAAGACGCCAGATCTTTGTATCTCAACAAATAAATAAACTATTGAAGGAAATTTCAAAGTTTTAGTCTACAGTAGAAAACACCAAAGAGGTAAACAGCATTCTCCCCAAATGTTAGCTCAGCAGGTAAGGACCATTCACGGCCAGTAAGGCAAAAAATATGTGCCAGAGGTGCACTTTCCTGGGGGGAGGTGGGCAGTGGAGTGAGGGACATGGCGTCGACCTCGCTGTGAAATTTAGGGGCTAAGTTCTCTGAAATGTCATTCCCTCATTTTACGACTTATTTACACAAATTAGCCGTTATCTTTAGACAGCTATCTAAAATGTTTGATTCCAATAACTTATTTTACTCTGTCTTCAATCACAGGAAAAAATAACAGATTCCCAGTTTTGGACATTTGATTCCAATCCCAATTTAACTTGGTTGGGAATTCTGTCTCACTTTGCCAAATTTGGGATTTTTATGGGTATTCTTTAAATACCCTAAAATATCCAAAAATGGGAATCCGTTATTTTTTCCTGTGAATGCTCTCTTTCCAAAATGTGTGGCCCATAAAGAGAAAAGCTGGGTATACTTTATTGCACTTCCATATAAATTCATTCATTACGGTGATCAGATCGGATCACAACTTCCGTATTTTTTACAACAACTTATTTAATTTTAGTAAACCTTCAAGCCATTGCAGACGGTAATAATTGAAGTGTTGCTTCGGACATTAAATGTTACTGGTTACCGCCTCATAAGGAGAACACTGGTTAAAACAAATTTTGAAATGAAGTATTATATATAGTTTTTAGAGATGGGTTTAGATTAAAGAGAAAAGGATGCCATATGACGAACAAACTTGAACAATTTAGCCTAATTCAGGATCTGCCTATTTTCAAAGATGTTATAGTAGTTGCAAAAATATATCTAAACAATAGCAGATGTCTATCCCCATAACAGAAGAACATAGGTTTGATCCCACTTATAAAAAAGCACTCATTTACAATGTTTAAGTTAGACTTACTAATCAAACATCCCTTTTGATCCTTTAGCCAATGTTTAGACCTGCTGCAACTTCACAACAAGACTATAGTCTATAGCTTAGTGTTATTAAACTAATCCTAATCCTGGCGTTTGCATATGCGGAAAAAGTTGCCCAAGAGGTGACTGTCTTATTAATTCCTCCACTTTTTTTAAAAATTCTATTCCAGACTGCTGAAGACAGAAATGACACTGTTGAAGCTATCACCAATGAAGTGAAATCCATTTTAGAAGAAATGGGACATAACTTCAATCTTAGTAGCATCCGGGTTATGGCATTCATGCTGCGCAAAATTCTGTGCACTCTTTTCCGTAGAGTGCTAATCAACAGAGAAGGCCTGGAGAGGGTAAGTTAATTCTCATTGTAATCAAACCAGGGGCAGATTGCAGAATTTATGATTGGGTGGAGAGGAGGTGGGGTGGAGGGGGGGGGGGGGGATTTTGGTTCAGAAAGGACTGAAAAACCTTTTGTTCAAATTAAAGGACTGAACAAATTCATTGGCAGGCCTTAATTACTTGAATTCCCACCCTTGGCACCCTTGGAACATCCTCCTCTTGTGCCAAATAACAAAGATTGTACAGATTTTACCAACATCATAGGAATGTACCCAAAATCAATAAATTACATTTTGAATATCCGTGGAATTTAGTTTACTGGCAAAATGCAATGCGTGTTTCATTAAACTAAAAATCAACCAGTTAAAAAGTCATATACAATCCTGTCGATGTAAGAATTTCAGTCTCAAACAAGCATCAGGTCTGATAAGGGGGGGGGCCCAGACCCTCCCCCCTGGATCTGCCACTGCAAACAAATTGTTGATCCACGAAATGTCCATTCCTCTTGGACCCACCAACTCCCCCATCCCCCCTTTTTCCCTTGTTTGGAAGATCATAAAAAGACCTTACACCTGTAAGCAAAGATGTCACCTGGCAGAGGACTTAGGCTTTGCTTTTGCGCCCTATTTTTGGTGCAGACTGTCTCAATAAGAGTATAAAGAAACTTAGCAACTCAAATTTGGTAGCCTTAAGGTATATTAAAAAGGGAGAAGGCCACACTTCCTTCTGACACATGAGGGTCAAAAATGTCTTTGATTAAGCTCCCCATTTACACGTAAAGTGCTAAGGGAGAGGAGTTCTTAATGCCCAAACTTCGTAAAGGGAAGATGTAACAAAAAAATGTTAATAATGTTGTGTCGAATGGAATCCTCATGTTCTGTATAAACTGTCCTAATTATGCAGATATCATTTTTCTATGTTTGGCTTATTAAAGTCGAAGAAAGGCAAATACAATATTGTTATTGAAAGTGAAGAATGATCATCGCAGTAAATTTTCCAATTTAAGCAATTGGAAAGAAGAAGCCTGAAAAAAAAAATCAGGGCCTCAATGGGATTCGAACCCGTGACCTCCGTGTTGCCGGTGCGTTGCTCTACCAACTGAGCTATGAAGCCACACATTGGGAGCGAGGTCAATTTATTGAGTTCATATCTCCCGTGAGGAGTGAAATGATGTGAAGTATATGAAATAATTCATTTTTGAACTGCGCTTGTAGATGAAAGTGAAGAATGATCACCGCAGTAAATTTTCCAATTTAAGCAATTGGAAAGAAGAAGCCCGAAAAAAAAATTTTAAAAAAATCTGAAAAAAAAATCAGGGCCTCAACGGGATTCGAACCCATGACCTCCGCCTTGCCGGTGCGTTGCTCTACCAACTGAGCTATGAAGCCATATATATTATTGTATTATTTTGAATACCTGTGTAATTGAATTGAGTAAATCAGTAAATAAATGAATAAATAAATTGTGAAATAAATTGTGTTAACCCAGCATATTAAAATTATATTATCTTCAGTTACGAGATGCTGCCAAGAAGAACCCAGTTGTGTTTATTCCATCACACAGAAGCTACTTGGACTTTCTTCTGGTCTCTTTCATCTGCTTTTCCACAGATATTCCACTGCCATTTATTGCAGCTGCTGCAGATTTCATGAACATGAGGGTCGTTCGCACCCTTTTCAGAAACAGTGGGGCTTTTTTCATGCGGCGCTCTTTTATGTCAGATCCCTTGTACTGGGTCGTGTTTACTGAGTACATTCAGAATCAGCTTCAGTTTGGTGATCAGCCTCTTGAATTCTTTTTAGAGGGTACACGGAGTAGAACAGGGAAGTTTCTTCCTCCCAGGCTTGGTAGGTGTTTGTTAATGTCCTGCTAATTTTGCTGCCCATTTTTGTATAGGAATGGTGAAAATCAAAATAAAGGAAAATGAAAAAAGTTGAAAAATTACAAAAATCACTTTTTAAAATGCTACCAATCAAGGACATATTATGCAAAAGAGACTTTATTTCAATCATGGTCACACCCATTACAATCTGTAGTCTGATTGTTGTATTATGCAAACAAGTGCTGCAGATGCCAACTTTAACTGGAAACTGGGGTGTGGACCACCAAAGAGCCTGTAAATTTAATTCGGTGAAAAATGTCGTTCCCTATAACTGAGAAATAAATATGTTGTTTCAAAACAAAATAATAGTACAACTGATCCAGGTCAGACTGCATTTATATATGTTACAAGCCAAAATTAAATTCAGGTTAAAATTTTTTAATAGCCAGGAGATAAAGGAAATTGTGAATCAGCCTAGAATAAAACAAATCAATGTGAATATAATTTTGCCCTGTAACATATAATATATTGTACTATAAATGTCAGTTTGTTAGATCTGACATGCCCTGGTTGTGTGATGTGACCTGCACATTTTGCGTATTATAAATTTGCAGGGGTTCTTTCCATGGTTGTTGACTTGTACACAACTGTGCGAGTACCAGATGTTCTCATTTGTCCAATAAGCATCAGTTATGACCGGGTTCCAGAAGAATCACTCTACGCATATGAGCTGTTGGGAATACCCAAACCAAAGGAATCTTTGAGAGTAAGAACTGACTGATGACTATAGTGCAGTACTGTAAATTCTCTCTTATTGGACGCATCCTGCTTAAAATAACCACTCTTTAAAATATTGACAATTATAGGTAAGCAGCGTGCAAAGAAAGTCATGTCCTGGGGCTAGTGGATTTTGCTATTGGGCTAGTGATTTTTGTTCTTAACTTGCCTGACGGGTAAGTGCTATTTTTTTTGGGAAATTCAAATTACAGAAGGATTGTACATGTAATCAATCCTGCTAATCAAAAAGGGTTTTGGGGCTACTTAAAATGACTTGTGGGCTATAGCTTTCCCAAATGGCAGGCTTTAAAACTGACTTTCTTTGCACCCTGGTAAGTCCCTGCTTTCTTGCATTCATTTTTTAACTGTTTTTAAGCTGGACACCTTCCTTGACTATAAGGCTTGGCATTGGCCAACTTTTTTTTTTTTGTGTCTTTATAGATCATGGCAAAGCCAAGGTCAAGCTAGTTTAGTTATTCTGGTCAAAATGTCAGCTCAGACAACAAAGATAGTTATGACGAGGTCAATAACAGTGTGGAAAAAAAATTCCAACAATTTAACTTGAGCGAAAAAGCTCAAAACAGGAGAATTCTTTTTTATTGGGACAAAAGTAGGAAAACACCAGGTGTTAAGATCTTCCGGTCATTTTGTGACTATCGTGCATGTCCAGCAATGATGCATCATGACTTCATGACAGATCGCGTCATGTAAATTAGACCCACAACAGTCGTCTGACGCATTGCAGATGTCGTAAGTGAAAATTGTGTGCATGTGGATGGTCAAAAGTCATGACGTATCCTAGTCATGCACGATTGTCATGCGCAAAAATCATACCATTTAAATCGGCCTTTAGAAAGAGTTGATAGCCAGGGAGGGACTCCCTTACACAAGCCATATACACCGTAGGCACGTGTATGTGCTGCCCCAAAGGATATGGTTTTTTTTTGCTGTTCAGGTCTTAAAACAGGTATAGACTTTCCCCATTTTGGTCTGGAATCGGGTATGGTTCTTGAGGGAACTATGAACATATTTGTCATTTCAGTTCCAAATGAATAAGAAAAAAAGAGTAGTAAGTGGACTCAAACAGGATTTAAAGAAATCTTTTTGTTAATGTTCTAAGCTAAGTAATGATGATATAAGTTCAGGTCTGAAAATGGGTATATGTTTTGGAGGCCAGTTCTGAAAATGGATGTGAAAAAATGACTCTTTGGGGTCTGAAATAGGACCAGGAGAACCGAGTGGCAGACCTTATGAAGAATTCCCAGAAGTACCTCTCCCTCTGGGGTTGAGTGTTGTGTGTCCCAAGGGTCAATTTTCTCATAACAGTTATGATACATGACGATAGGTAATGTGAAGTAATAAAATAATCCTCCAAGAAATTCTCTCAACTAATTCTTAACGTACGCATGGAGATTGGTCAGGAGAATTTATATGTAGATATTAGGCCTTGAAGGGCTAAATTGACCCAGCAAATTGACCAAGAGAACAACTGAAGGTACAGTTATTCTAATCTGAAATATGCTAGTAAAGCAAAGAAGATAATTTTGTTCTTAGTTATAAGTAATGGGCTTCTTTAACTTTTTTTCAAGGGTTTGATTAAAAGCAGATCAGTCCTGTCAGAAGATTATGGAAGTATTCACATCCACATCGGAGAACTTCTACCAATGAGTAGATATATCCAAGGAAAGCTTAACAGAGTAGACAATGCTTGCATACCAAGGTAAAAATGTTAAAAAGAAGGCCATGATAATTTTTTGAGAAAAAAGATTTTCAGAAGTTGCTGAAAAATAAAAATAATAGTGAAGTTTTCCAGATTTGTTTCCCTTTAATTGCCCTTGATTCAGTTTCACATTCAATAATGAAGGAGAAAAATTGAGTGCAGTGATAAAGTTTACTTAGAACAAAGAAAAATGGTAAAAAGTAAGCAAGACTAAAACTATTTAATTTAGAACTGATCGATGCCACCCACCCATTTCTAGTAGAATATGATTGTATTTGTGACTGTCACAGAAATGATGGTGATGAATAATTATCTTATATTCTTCTTCAAATTAATTTTTGTTCTTTTTGTTCCTTTTTGCTTCTTTCCAGGCACCTTTTCCACTTTCTATCTGATGAAGAAAAGAAGGTTGTCAAGTCTCTGGGGTATAAAATTCTCTCAGACCTTCAATTAGGAATGATTTGCCCTTCCAGCGTCTTAGTGGCTACTGTTATGCTTCAGAACTTGAATGGAATTCCTTATGGTACATTTTCTTCTTTTAATTTTCTTAATTCATGAGTGAAAGAGCCACCATTGCAATAACAAACAGCGTTAATCAGTCAGTCACCCAGTTAGTTGGTGAGTCTGTTAGACAGTTTGTCTGTCAGACAGGGAATCTGTACAACAGCCAGTCAGTCAGTCAGTTTTGCAACTAGTGATATATATTTTTTTAACTAATTGGCTACATCACCATGAATACAGTGTTTTTGAGAAGAAAAGGTTGCACTTGCTCTTTCATGTGCATTTATCTCACTTTCATTATTTTTTTCTCGGTAAAAGCTAAAAACTTCTCAGGCCCGACCATACTATTTTACTTATTACCTGATTAATTATCTTACCCAACTACATGTATAATTATTACGATCTTTTTATACAGTCTTATATGGTTTGGTTAGTCTTAATACAGGATAAGACTCAGCCAGAGAAAGTTGATTCAAACTTTGTTGCATTGTTTAGTCTTGTTTGTCTCTTATTTTGTCCATTTGAACTATGGTATCATTTGTTGTTATAGATAAATTGGTGGAAGATTTCACCTGGTTGAAGGAACTGTGTCGCATGTGGGATATTCCTATAAAATCTGCAGGTTTGACAATGCACTGCATTGACTATATCGATCATAATAATTATACAGAACCTAGCTTAGGTCGATCTCAAAAATAGAAGAACAGTGCCCCTTTCCCCTTTAATACTGACTATTTGGAGAACATTCGGTTGTACACTTGATGGCGTGCTCGTCTTACTGGAGGAAGCATGGAATCATGATGCTAAGCCTTAAACAAGCCTGCTTCACAGGTGTAATCTAGCCCTGGCTAGTAACATCTGCGAGGTAGCGCCAAGATCCTAGTTCTGTACCCCCAACAGACTCAATGAAGTGGGCTTCGAATTTCCTCTCAACCTGGTTGGCAATTTGATAATACGTTGTAGCTTTTTTAACGGGACAGTCATGGTGCATACCCAAATCCTGGTGGGCCCCCAGAACAAGGTTTTTGGCACTGGCTCACAGACGGACTTAACCAGAGGTTTTATTGTTTCGTCTGTGGTGCAGGCTACAATCCTCGTCACATTAAGTTGGGACAGCCCATGCTGGTACCCTCAATTCGGGTTTTTTGTCCTGGAGGGCAGGAGCACAATTTTTTGACAGAATACTCGCAAAACCAACATTGAAGGGGGCGGAAAAGCTGACCCAACTAATGTGACGGGTATAGTAGCCTGCACCACAGACGAAACAATAAAACCCCTGGTTAAGTCCGTCTGTTAACTAGACTTTGCCTGAAACGAACAAGAAGTTGATGAGGAAAGCCTCAGGCATAGTGGGCGTAGTGGTAAGGGATTAACTACCACTGAACAGGAAATTCTTTTGCGGATTACTGAAAATCGCCAAATATTTTTTTAAGCAGTGGTTGTAAAAACTTTCTTTGTAATTCTGTTATGTGAATCTCAGTGTGGTTTTTTTTTTTTTCTTTTCGATGCCAGGTGACTCCAATAACGTAGTTCTGGTGGATGAAAGTATTGATTTCTTAAAATCATCCTTGGAAAAAACTGAAAGTGGTTTTGTAAGAATCAAAGAATGCCAGACAATAGGGGATAAAGAAAGAACCGTTCCCGGAACTGCTGCAACCAACAGCCCCGCAAGAAACATCAAAGACGAAGCTGCTTTACACATGCTCCTGGCATGCAAGAGAAATGTGCTGCTGTTTCATTTCTTCAGAACTGGAATGTTTTCCTTGGCTGCGCAAAGGCAGTCCGCCTCGGAAAAACACTTGGGTGAGTAAGGCGCGTTGAAAAATTCGTTTTAGGGAAGTAGTGAGAAGTCGTTACGTCTCGTTGCCATGGTAGCAAAATGACTGGATCTCAAATAACCATGGTCCCGCAAATATGGCAAAAAAGAAGACTAGTATAACCTTCTGTGCGTGACTGCACTCAGGAACAAAATGGCAGCCCATACTTCTCATCGTTTGACAATGCAAATGGCGTTTGAGATCAAAAGTGCAAATGGCCGTCACACTTTCATCTCTAATTAGATTGTTGAGATGCAGAATCACCATAATCGTTCATTTACAGTAGATGGTTTAAACCTGGTAACGGTGGAGGTGACATCGTGTGGGTGAGTGTAATGCTGAATAGGACATTTTTGACCTCTCGTTTCAACAATCAAAGCGGGTCTCAACGTTTTTATTTACGGCAAATGGAAAACTGAGCTGTGATGGAGAACTGTGCTATCAACCATAATATTTCATCTTAAAAAAGAGCATACGATTAATAACTTGGTCCTTTCCTTTTTCTCCCTATTGAGATAATTTTTTTTATCGACACTGTGGCAGATGGCCAAGTAATTCCCCCATCGGTGGTTGGTCATTTTTGGGACCATTGAACACAAACGATCTTGTCCTTTCCTTTTTTGGAGGCAAGTGCTTTTATCGCGTGTAGAGGATTACAATGCATCAGAAAGCCATACTGACTTATCTGGAATAACTGTAATTTTTTTGGTTTTATTTTAGTTCAACTATTTGCCGACTTTCAGTTTCTGGCAAAACTTTTGGTAAAAGAAGTCCCTCAAGTTACTGAAAGAACCAATGAGGTAATTCTATGCTTTCACATTCGTGTCACCTCTCTTTGTGCAGGGTGCCTCATGTGGTCTATCTTTATATGTATATATTTATTTATAGTAAACTGGTTCAAGACTTCAGAGGTAGTGCATCGTTTTAAGAATTTATGTATTTATGTATGTATTTCATTTATTTATTTATTCATTCGCTCGTTAATCATCTTTCTTGGTCTCAGTAGCTTGTTCTTCCGGCAGCAGTGTCGACTTTCGATTGTGGTAAAATCGAGGAAAACTCCGCTTGTTGTTTTGAAAACGTTCCTTAAAAAAGCTAAATCGGAGTTACTTTGGCAACTTCCCCATTTTCTACCTTTCCCTTGTTCTCCTCCAGTTCCTATGCTGTGTGTTTCTATTTTACTCGTTTTTTTTATTATTTTTTTCATTTTATGTTTTTCCTTGCTCGACATTTTTTCGGCCCACAGTGTAACCGCAACAGCAAAGATCGGACCATTTTAGGTTCCTGGGAACCGGCCCACCTACCCCTCCCCTAAGCCAACATTAAGACTTAATTATCGCTTTGGGCAAAATGTTGGCTTAGGGGAGGGGTGGGTGGGCAGTTTCCCCAGAAACTTTAATTACGGAATGCCAGTAATGTTAGCCCCTTAAGTAAAGTGTACTTTGTCTACACGAGAAGGATGTATTGTTTAAATAATAATTTTTATTTCTTGCAGACTTTTGAATACTTCCGAGAGACAACTCAGTTACTCGAGCAGCATGGCTCCGTCAACGTTAAAAACGGAAGGGTAGTGCTACTCCAGGAAAAAGATGTCAGCTTTAGTGCAAACATGTGGAAACCTATTCTAACGGCCTACTGGGTAAGACTAGTTCGACTTTTTTCTTCAAATAACAATTTTTTTTTGTTAGGTCTCGTCTATATTAGATTGAAAACAAGCTTAAAAAATTGTCTCAAAGTCCATTTTTTAACTAGAACAAGCATATGCATTATGTATATGTGTAGTTCCATGTTGTCACTGATCATGCTTTTTTTATTCTGAGTGACGTAGTGTTACAGTGAACAGAGATGGAGACCACACCATGCGTGAAGTGGTCGCTTACAAAGAGGAACTCACATATTAGATTGAAAACAAGTTAAAAAAAATTGTCTCAAAGTCCATTTTTTACTAGAAAAAGCATATGCATTACGTATATGTGTAGTTCCATGCTGTCACTGATCATTCTTTATTTATCCTGGGTGGCGTAGTGTTACAGTGAACAGAGACAGAGACCACACCATGCGTGAAGTGGTCGCTTACAAGAGGTTTAAAAACACTAGAAAACTAAAAAACCATCAGGCCAAAAAGTGGTCGCCGTCGCTTATGAGAGGTGGCCGTGTTCGTTTACGAGAGGTTTAATTATAGGGCTTTTACTGGGAAATTTTTAGTATGTTTGATCGCTGGTCGCCTGTGGGAGGTGGTCGCACATAGAATTTCAAAGGTCTGGAAGTTAATGGTAAATGTTTCCGAGAAAGCTGTTCCAGCGATACCCTGCGAGCAGTGGTTTCTCCAGGCCGGACGCTACGGTAGCGTCCGGCCTGGAGAAACCACTGCTCGCAGGGTATTCCAGCGACAACCTAAAGTTGATCGTTGGATGGTTCCTTTTCTTTCTTTCTTCCTTTCTTTTATTTTCTTTTGACGTTTGATGAAGACTTGCGGAGCCCCATCAAAAAGCGACAGCATCTCTAAAGAGAAAAGCCGTGCTAAATTTGATGGAAATTCGAAACGACTGTTGCCTGTTGCGGATGGGCCCTTTTTTGCTTAGGTTAAGGCGTAAAAATATATCCCGGAGTTTGTATTTTCATTGAAATACTCGCTGCATTACGTTACAGTGGTTTTACGGGGCTCTCTAAATTTCTTACTTTAGATCACTTGTCACTTTTTTGTCAATTGCCCGGATGGGAACCACGAGAGACCGCTGACTGAGATTATAAAGCAAGTTCAGGACAAAGCAGCCGAGCTCGTACTCACAGGTAGGAAAAAGAACGTTTCAATACCCGCATCTCAGGATGACCCACAGGAAAACTCTCTTGACCATAATTATGCAACTTAGGGCCTGTTTACATAGAGGTGGGGGACTCCAGGTAGGTAAGGTAACCCGCTTAGGTGAGTTATCCCGCCTGTCTACATGTATATAATCCTTCATTTTAATTTGGTCATGTTTACATGATAAGTGGGGTGACCCGCTGCGGGTTACCTCAACCTGGGGTACCCCACCTTTATGTAAAACAGGCCCTTAGGCCCTAACATCTTTTGGCCCTCTGTTGACAGTATGTGTTGATACAGACAATGTGTGTACATTTCTCTTTAGGAGACGTAAAATTCTACGAAGTTCTCTCACTTGACCTGCTGAAGAATTCCCTTATGGCCTTGGCTGATTTGGGTGTAATCAAGGCTAGCAAAAGGTGACTCTATTCGGTACTGCTATACTTGTGTTTAATCGTCGTGGCAAAAAGAAATACAGCAAAACTCCGCGAGTAAACCTGTTAGGCTAAAACTGCCTGTTAAGACCCCTCTATACAAAAACCTGTTAAGCCTACAATTTGAAACAGGTTCTTATTTTCTGAAATGTATTTTTAAAAAATCTGTACACTTGGGCAAATAAATAAGTCAACAATCAGGATCCTCTTTGGAGACATACCGTATTTATTCGAATAAGCGCCCAACCTCGAATTAGCGCCCACCTCGAATAAGCGCCCATCCTTGAGTGAATAAATTTTAATGAGAGACTTCCCCGAGGACGGAGTTTTCTTCACATTTATTGTTTTGTTGCAAAATAAACATACTTCACTTGCTGAAAATGGTGAAAATTTAATAAGCGCCCAGCCTCGAATAAGCGCCCACCTCGAATAAGCGCCCACTCTCAAGGTCCAAAAATTTAATAAGCGCCCAGGGCGGTTAATCGAATAAATACGGTAGGTGCCTTATGACTCCAACTGCAATGTGATCGTATGCAGAATTTATTTGCTACATTTTACTGGCCTTCTTTTTCGTAAAAAAAATATATATATGAAGGTGATGATAACTAGTAGTAATTCCGTCAAACTATTCTTGCTTCCTTCCTGACAAATTTAGCTGATCTTTGTGTACACTTTTTCTCATTAGCATTCACAGCACGCAATAGACCACTTCCGATGTATTAAAATTCATACTTGGTTCCGAGGCTTGGGGGAATAAAACCAAAAAAAAAATCATCTGAGGTTCAGCAATGAATAATACAGTTCTTTTGTTTTATTCCCCTAAGCCTCGGAGACATGTATGAATTTTTATATATCGAACATGATCTATTACGTCACACTGAAAGGTTTAGTCCGATATAGCAAATATTCGGTGAGATAATTGACTGTATATGGATGGTGCCTTTGTAAACTTGTAGCGGGCACAGAAACGACTGATTTTCGTTCAAACGTTTAATTAATTAAACACTTGTATTTTGGTATGTTGCAGTGCCGATAATGGCATTTTGATCTCAGTGCCAAGTAGCGCGAAGGTTGCGGAAACATGTCAGAAGATTGGTAAACTACGCTTTTTTTTTTATTTGTGGTGTATAAGATTGTTTGCGAGTCTGCTACCTTGATTTCTGCACAGATTCAAATGTATTACCTAGTAGCTTTCATATTAACAGAGTTACGCTGACTTATCGACCCAATAAGCCGTTTGCGAGTTCCAAAAACCCTCACTTTCAAAACGAGGCTTTGTGCTAAACCATTTTTGGGATAATGAGTTTCATTTGCATGTAACAAAAATCATTTTTATGTTGCACGTAGCCTCGCTTTGAAACAGAGACTTAAAGTACCTTTCAAAATGGCCAATTTATTAGCTCCTACTGGGATTTTTGAGTCAACTGATTTTGATAAAATACATGTAGGGCGTAGCTGGCCTCGCGATCCAGATATAAACAATATTTTAAATGAAATTGGGTGATTTATGGATTGTAATTAGCCTAAAACTGTTAGTCATGCATGGAATATTCTAAAAATACTTAACCATGGATCCCTTTAAATCTGCGAAGAACCAGGCCTTAATCTATATGATCGCGACTGAAGGAAAACTTGCTCGTATAAACGCGGCTTTTTTAAAAATAAACAGTACTGTAGTACTTCTTCTTACAAGGTTTCTCCGAACCAGCGTAAGTAGGGTTTTCATTCTTAAAAAAATAATAATAATAATAAAAACATAAGAAGGCGTAGCCTAACTTTTCTTTGCTGTCATGTTTTGTATTGGTTTCGATTTAGTTTATCTTGTTTTTTCTGCAGGTGAATTTCTGGACTTGCCTTCCACAACTGCAGTGTTTCCTGCGCCCCTTTCAAAGCTGTAAATTAGAACACAGAGCACAAATCGTTGTTACCTTGAAAAAAACATGGATTGATATCGTAACATCATTGCCGTGCCATGGGAAGTCTGCATTCAAAAATGGATTATGGATTATCCTCACGATTGACAGAAGGGTTCTTGTGACTGCTATATGTTTATGCTGCTGTTTATGGGGGAACGAAGAAGGACATCACCTTTTTAGAAGACTGATCAAAATAATAAGTGAAAAAGCAGGGAATGTAAAAGGATAAAGAACTAAAACAAGTATATTTCAGTATTTCATATCTCATACCTAATGGAAAGTCTTAATTTAACTAAAATTTATTAATTAATGCAGTGAAACCCCGCGATTTTAGGTGGAAGAATGTGTATCTTACACTGAATTAATCAACCTAGTAAATAGTCATGAGCGCAACTAATTTATCAGAAATTCACTCAATTTTTTATACTTCAAAACTGTTTTAACAAAAAGTGGAAATCTAAACATCAAAGAACTTGACTTAATAAATGCTGAAGTGCAAAGAAAACAGGTTGAAAGGTTTAGAGACGATCCTTTGTAAAATACGAAGTAAAAATATTAAACGAATGAAGTGATTTAGGTCAGGGGAAGTAACCATATACTTTGTCCGTAGTCTGCTACACAAGCCGTTTTAAGTGTCGTCACGCAACACTCCTCCCCACTAAAGGAGCGTTGCGTGACGACACCAAAAACGGCTGTGTAGCAGACTACTTTGTCGGCAGATATTGAGAAAATGCATTCGAAGGTAAAAACCTAATGTTTCTTCTTCTATGGGGAGCAAGGGTGGCGCAGTGGCACTCGCCTCCCACCAACGTTGCCCGGGTTCCAATCCTGGCGTCGAGGACGCCATATGTGGGTTGAGTTTGTTGTTGTTTCTCTCACTTGCTCCGAGAAGTTTTTCTCCAGGTACTCCTCTCTTCTTAAAAGCCAACACTTCCAAATTCAATTCCATCTGGAACGCACGGACACGTTTCAACGAGTTCTTAAGAACCGCTAAGTGCTCCGTGGGTAAACAATTGCAATTACAAACTACATTGATTTTAGGCAGTTCGATTCCGCTTCAGTTGCCTGGCATTCGCTTTAGGAGGTTGCGCGCGCTCAATTTCAGCTTATCTCCGCCAGCCTGAATGGCTCCTTAAACAATATTCCATCGCCATTGGTAAACTGAGAAGCTCAAACCTAGTCTATCGAGCGTCTCATTCGTTTCCAGGCTTTGTGGTCCAATTTCACTTCTTTATTTTGGTATATTTTCTAACGAAATGTAAAATGCACTTGGCCCTTGTTTGGTGTTTTACGTTGGGTGTCGCTCTTCTCACAGCTTTTCCTGGTTATGGACCAGGTCAGTAAACATTTTTGCTTTTTTACGAGTCAAGTACTTTCCCAATAAAGTATTAATTATACGTTTTATAGGCTCTTTAAAGAAGGTTACAGTGAACGGCATTTTCGCACCATCTTCCTTGAGAAGTGACCTTTAATCGGGCATTAAAGGCTACGTTACTCGGCACCGGACCGGACCTAACAGTGGGTGGGTAGATCAGGCCGGGGGGGGGGGGGAAATAGTGGGGTAGGGAGGGGGCTATTTTGAAAGAACCCATTTAGTAAGGAGCAGTGATTACTAGAGGGCTTGACTGGCAAGTACCTTGTTTTTACTTTGCGCCAGCCAGCCGAATCAGGCCTCTGCTGAGAATAATTATCATGATAATAATTGCAGAGCTCAGTGGGAGGCGCAGAGAGTTACCCAGTGTCCTGGGTGGGGAGGGTGAAAGTCATTGGTACCAAAGACATACTTAGATGAGGACCTGTAGACACTCACTGAAGCCATGTTTACATAAATTCAGTGAGATATATTTTATTTATATATTTGTTATCTATAACTTTTTAATCAGCTGTGCTGTACCTGAGTCATTTTCACGGCACCCCGTTGCAATTGCAATCTGTTGTTAGTCTCTCATTTTTGCCCACTCTCCTACTTTCTTCAGTGGTTATTTTTTTTATATTTCACTCAATTTAGCGGCCTTTTCTCAGTGGCTGAATTTGCTAAATCGCGTGACAAAGCTCAATAGTGGTGCACTTACAGATCGGAAAAAGATATCGGTTAACAATAACAGACACTGCATCCCACCCAATTTCCCACAACATAACAAATGACTTTTGCTTATCTTCAGTTTAGCTGTGGTTTTCCTGAGTAGTTTGACGAAAGCAGCAGCAATAGCTCGCAATGGTAGTATTCCGGTCTTTTCATACAATTTTTTCCCAACAGATGAAAATAGGCCTAAGGATTCTTTGCCAAGGAGGATACCTCAAATTATTATAATTATTCTCAGCACAGGCCTGATGGCAAAGTAAAAACAAGGTACTTTTCAGTCAAGCCCTCTAGTAACCACTGCTTATTATTGTTATTATTATTATTATTATTAATTATTAATATTATTATTATTATTATTATCTAACGCAGCATTTGTAAATTGCCTATAGATAGCGAGATTTACAAGTTGTACATTCAAAAACTCGAATAAAGTTTCCATTACTATTTTTATTATTATTACTATTATTATTAAAAAAGCTTTTCCATGGGGTGTCCACCATTGCAAAAGAAAGGAGGAGGCTACCCTAGGCACTTAGAAAATTCTCAGGAGCACACATCACGGTATTATCATTCTCCATGTGTTTCTTTTCGTGCTGAAGTTCTTTTCAAAGAAAAGCCTGTGTGAAGGTGGTTGGAAATTAAAACAGTAAATTAGAATCATCTTTATTTAACTGAATAAAGCCTGAGGGTTTAATCAAAAATGTTTTTTAAACCATTTTTTTTTAGAATCGGATTTCGCAACCAAATCAAAGTGACTCTGCACTTCCATTAAATCGAAACTGAACGCAGATCATCCTTTATTACTGTGCCTTTTTCTTGAAGCAATTCTTTACGCTATCTTGAGAAAGATTTCTGACCTTTACACGGGGTCTTTAGCATAGCAAACAAGGCAATTAGCCTGTTACCGCCGGTATTAACATTTAGCCTTTTCCGACAAAGATAAATGAAATCCCAAGTAAACGTACCAAATGAATGAGAGAAAACGGGTTTTTGTTGTTGCGTTGTTTATCCGAAAAGAAAGGCACCTTTTGAATCACTTTTGTTGAGAGAAAAGCCATTTTTGTTGTCCTACCAACAGAAAACGAAGTTATTTTGTAATATGACTGTTTATGAAAACACTTGTTTTTACCTCTGCTTTATCATTTTATGCCGGTCGGATACTCAAGTCTCTCAGATGCCGAGTTTGATAAGTAAACTTCCTTGAATTCTGCGGTATCTCGGCTTTCCTCCCGGAAGAGTAACCAGATATGGAATCAGGCCAATCAGCACAGATTGATCAGCTATCAATTATGATCGGTTCAAAAAACTATTTAAAGGCAACAGTTATAAATCTTTTGCAACACGGTGAATTAAAGCACTGCAGCAGCGAAGCAAGGCGAATTTGGTAAGTGGAAAGTGATATTCCTTTTTCTGCAATTAAAATTAACATAAAAGGATCAGAAACGGTTACAAAGTAGTAGAGTAGAGCCGCAAAGTAACGGTATTTTCCCATTCTTCTAAGTGTCCATTTTGGCTCTTGATAATGCTAAACAGAACTAGTTTTTTTTTAGTTTGGTCACAGCTTACTCCTGCAAAGAAAGTTGAGTTTTTACGTGTACTTAAGACTTGATAATATTGTTTTTACAGTTGAAAATCTAAAGTTTCACCATGGGACGAATGCTGGCGATATTTCTTGTTTTATGTCTTCTTGTTTCCTCCTTCCACGAAAGGTATGTTTTTTTTTTTTTACCATACCCTGGGGACGTGGAGAGGGTCCTCTCTAAGTTTTTCTTGCGGCCTTAAATATACCCCTGTTAACGAAAAGGATGGGTGAGCAGTTGCGGATCCAGATCGTCAGGAGGGGGCGGGGGGTTCACCCAGACCCTGAGGGTCTAAAACTAAGGGGGGTCTCCCCTGGATCCACCACTGGTGAGTAAGAAGTAGCCTACCAGCACGCTGTCCATTTGGGGGAGTCACGAGTCAGCTACTCTGCGAAAACTTTCCTCGCGCGAGCGATCCTGTCGGCTACACTCTCGCGTTCTCTTGCGAGTCGATTCTTGGAGAGCTTCCTGGCAGGCTAACTAAGAAGATAAGCAATGGCAGCCGGATTCAGATCTTTAAGTAATTAGGGGCCCAATCATCTAGTCCTCAAGAGAAGAGGTGGGGTCCCGACCCCGAAATTGATTTTTCTTGTTCCTTCGCGCCTCCCAGTTGGTTCTTAAAATAAGGTAACGGAATGGGTCCCCCGGGAGCCTACCCTAGATGTGCCACTGTCTCCCCCATTATTTGGCTTTCATCTCTCCTACTTACCAGAACAAACCATACATACAGTTTAACTTATCATTTATTCCCAGTGACTATTCCACTGGATTTCCCTCCTCTTGACGACACTCTTCCGCCCTTTACTTCTGATAAAGGCTAGATTATCTTTATTTCACCATTGTGACAAGTATGTGATACTTAAGGAAATTCGAAAGGACTCTTCACTGAACCAATCAGAATTGCTTATAGAGGATAAGAGGATAAGTATCATTTTGCGATATCACTACAGTCCTCGCTTCGCAGGGTTAATAAGGCAACAAACTCCCGTTATACCCTAGCAAATAGTAACATTAGGGCCATTTATACGAGGAAAAATTAACTAACTATTAACTATTTATGTGTGTTTCTCTGTTTTCTTTGTTCTTGTGTCCCTGACCTAAACATTTAAACATCTTTTCTTTTAACTGGCTGCCTGGCATTTTTAACTCTTAGGTTATTTGGGGCAGCCAGCGCCCCTATCATTGTCTGTACTATTGTTATAAATTTTTATTTTATGCATATTATCGGGTGAAATAAAGTGTTGTTGTTGTCCCGTCTTACATAAGACGCTCCCTAAATAAGACTCAAACTATCCCATGTAAACGGCACATTTAGTTTGAAATTTAGCTTAAAGGCGAAAGACGCTTCTTATCACCTGTCATTGACGGATCCAGGGAGGCCCCCCCCCCCATTTTTAGACCAAACTGAGGCCTGAAGGGTCGAAAAAAATTTGGGGGGACTGGCCCTCCCCCCCTTATCTAGGGGTCTGGATCTACCACTGCCTGTTCCTCGATAAGACGCGTCTTAGCTGAGTCGCGTCTTAATGTGCCGTTTATACGAAATAGTTTGCGTCTTATTTAGGACGCTTCTAATCAAAGACGCGTCTTATTTTTCCTCGTATAAATAGCCCTATTATTTTGGTGCAAAAATGAAACAAGAAATTTCCGGTTAACGTACCTTTCCTATCTTTATAGCCCTGTGTCTTCAGTATTGCTCATATTTTCTATATTGAATGAATTATATTAATAATGTCAAATGACACCATTTATA